TGTATCGGCCAACTGTCCGATGGATTATCTCATGACTGTGAAAAAATTCTGTGTAGCTTAATTTGCTGGATTGCCGATAAGCGAATAAGGATGAAATTTATCGAAGGATGTCTTGATAATCTGTCCAAAAACTATTCCATCATAGTATCATTACGTTTGTTGCCTAAACTGTTCATCTCATTTCAACAATACCGTGGAGGCAGTGATACCCATTCAATTACTTTGTGGGCTGACAAAGAGAGACAAATGTTGAAACACTTTTTCTCTAATCTTATTCTCTATGCTAAGAGGAGAGAAATAAAACCTACTAGCAACTTATCAGGGTCTCCACACGAATTGTATACTCACACAGAAGAGATACAATCAAGACTTCAATTTCTGACTTTTATCTTTTCATACGCTGGTTCACCAGAAAGCTTTCAATTGTCCAAAGAACAAGTTGATACTCTATGGAACTGTTTGGCAACTGACAAAGAGTGTAGCGATGAATTATTTAGCTGGAATATGCAGAATATTCCGCATTGCATGGTCAGGTTGTTATAAAAAGACACAATTATCACATTAGTACACAAATTGACACAAATGGGCAAAAACGAGTGAAATAGATTTCTTTCAAATTTAGACTCTGTTAGTTTATGAGGACATAAAAACTGAGTCTATTTGCGAGATTCAATTTTTTATCTGATGAAAAGTTTTCGAGAAAATCGATGCCAAAGTTGAAACTTCGTTCGCTTTTTGTTTAATTGTGCGATGAGATTTTTTCATGAAACTCATTTTGCTGATGTAACTTTTGATAATAAATCAGAAAATGTATCTATTTTAAGAAATAAAGTGTTCCGTTTTCTGTAAAACAGATCTGTTCGATATTTTGTTTAACCTGTCGCATTCCGTGAACATAAGAGTTAGAAAGCTAAAACTTAGAATTTTTTCATAAAAATTGTTGCTTCACATCAAAGATCTCATACTTTTTTCAATTCTTCAATAGTTCTCTTGATTTTGGCCATTGGCCTTAAAACTTTGAGTTTCGATAGTTCGAGTATGGTAGCACCTAATGTAATCATTCTTTCAACAAACATTAGATTTCATTGTGAGCTATAAAAGAATATGGCTGAGTACCAAATAAAATCTGCGCTAATTCATCTATTAAGATTTGTGTTAAGTAAACATTTAACTTTATGAATCAAGTTTTAAAACTGAAAACATAAGTAATACGATGTTATAACTTTTTTTGTAGGATCTTGAATGATTTGATGTTTCAGTATATCATAGTCCATGATGCAATACAATGTTCCGCCAAGAATGATGATTGTCCTTGCTACCATTCCCAAAATATCGAGGCTCAAAGTTTTAAGGCCAATGGCCAAAATCTCGAGAACTAATCTTGAATGGAAAAAAGTATTTACTCCATGATTTGTAGCATCAATTTTTGTCAACCAATACTAAGTTTCAGCTTGCTAACTCTTATAACCACAGAATGCGACACGTTAAATTGAAAATCGAACTGATCTGTTTTACAGAAAACGGAAAGCTTTATTTCTCAAAATAAGTTCATTTTCTGGCTAATCATCGCAATTTACATCATTGAAATAAAGTTACCTGAAAAAATCTGCTTTCATAGCCGAACAAAAGGCGATCAAAGTTTTAACTTTGACCTCGATTTTCTCGAAAACTGTGCATTGAATGAATTATCAAATAGTACCAATGGATTCAGTTTTCATGTCCCTACAGATCAATCAAGTCTCAACTTTTAACTCAAATGGTCGAGCCTTTAGCAGTACTTTTTGCATTTCACTTTTAAGTTTAACCAGAAAATTGGTTTGTTTACCAAGAAATGGGTTGAGATGAGTTTAGCTTGTTGAATAAGTTGTTTCTCATCCATTTAAAGCCCAAAAATGATGACCCAAATGCTTTAATAGAAAGTCATTATATTGCATTGAATTAATAATTAGTAAATAAGCAAATTGGTGAAAGAGTGATGATTGTAGGTGATGCCATTCTTGGAATATTTAGGATAAAACTTTTAAGTTCAATGGTCAAAAAGTTCAAGAATTGTTAAAAGCATTCGATCCAAAATGGGTTTGACTGGTAAAAGTGTAGAAAGTTAAAGAAAAATGTTCTGAAAAAGCTTTCAATTACCAGTTAATATACATTTGGTCAACTAGTTTAACAAATCGTTGTCGAGTTCCTCATTAATTATGTTTTAATGGACAAAAATAAATCACTTTTGTGCTATTTTATGTTCATTAAATGTCGCTGTTACAGAATAACATCTCCAAGAACAATGACGGCTTAGATAACATAACTCTTGGTAGTTACTAAAAACACACAATCGTCGCATCTATGCACAAATTGACTTAAATGGGCAAAAACGAGTAAAATTGCATTCTTTCAAGTTTAGAGTCTGTTAATTTGTAGGGACATCATAGCTAAAACTACATGAGTCTATCAAAATTTTCACATTATAGTTTGTATGGACATGAAAACTGATTCAATTTTTGCTTTTAAAAAATTTCCATGACCGTCAGTTTTCGAGAAAATCGAGATCAAAGTTAAAACTTCGATCGCCTTTTGTTCAGCTATGAAAGCAGCTTTTTTCATGTAGCTCTATTTCAATTATGTTAATTTTGATGATCAACCAGAAAATGAACTCATTTTGAGAAATAAAGTTTTCCGTTTTCTGTAAGGCAGACCAGTTCGATTTTCAGTTTAACGTGTCGCATTCTGTGATCATAAGAGTTAGCAAGCTGAAACTTAGTATTGGTTGACAAAAATTGATGCTACAAATCATGGAGTAAATACTTTTTTCCATTCAAGATTAGTTCTCGAGATTTTGGCCATTGGCCTTAAAACTTTGAGCCTCGATATTTTGGGAATGGTAGCAAGGACAATCATCATTATTTCACCAATCTAATTATCTAATAATGCATAATACAATTAGGTTTAATAACTTTCGATAAGTTCATTCGGGTTACGATGTTTAGGCTTTAAAGGTACGAGCAACAACTTATCAAACTAAGCAAACTCATATCAACTCATTTCTTGGTAAATAAACCAATTTTCTGGTTAAAATTACAAATGAAATTCAAAAAGTACTGCCAAAGGCTCGAACATTTGAGTTAAAAGTTGAGACTTGGTTAATTTGTAGGGACATGAAAACTGAATCTATTGGTACTATTTAATAATTCATTCGATAAACAGTTTTCGAGAAAATCGAGATCAAAGTTGTAACTTCGATCGCCTTTTGTTCGGCTATGAAAGCAGATTTTTTCAGGTAACTTTATTTAAATGATGTAAATTTTGATGATTAACCAGAAATGAACTCATTTTGAGAAATAAAGTTTTCCGTTTTCTGTAAAGCAGATCAGTTCGATTTTCAGTTTAACGTGTCGCATTCTGTTATTATAAGAGTTAGAAATCTGAAACCTAGTATCGATCGACAAAAATTGATGCTACAAATCATGGAGTAAATTATTTTTTCCATTTAACAACAGTTCTCACGATTTTGGCCATTGGCCTCAAAACTTTGAGCCTCGATATTTTGGGAGTGGTAGTTCCTACAGTCATCATTTTTTCACTAAACATTGAAGTCATTATGGGCTATAACATATATTATGAAAACCGAAAAAATCTGAGCTACTCTGTAGTTTATTAAATAATGTAGATCCTTCTAACGCATAAGATTTGCGTTTGTAAAGCACATTTAACTTTATGAATCAAGTTTTAAAACTGAAAACATAAGTTAATACAATGTTATAACTTTTTTTGTATGATTTTGAACAATTTAATATTTAAGTATATCATAGATCATATCACAATTCAATGCTCTGCCAAGAATGGTGATCGTAGGTGCTACCATTCCCAAAATATCGAAACTCAAAGTTTTAAGGCCAATGGCCAAAATCAAGAGAACTATTGAAGAATTGAAAAAAGTATGAGATCTTTGATGTGAAGCAACAATTTTTATGAAAAAATTCTAAGTTTTAGCTTTCTAACTCTTATGTTCACAGAATGCGACACGTTAAGTTAAAAATCGAAATGATCTGGTTTACCGAAATTGGAAAATTAAATTTCTCAAAATAAGTTCATTTTCTAGTTGGTCATCAAACTTTATATCGTCAAAATGAGTTACATGAGATAATCTTCTCCCATAACTGAACAAAAGGCGATCTAAGTTTCCACTTTGACTTTGATTTTCTTTCGAGCCTTTGCCAGTACTTTTTGAATTTGCCTTGTAAGTTTAACCAGAAAATTGGTTTATTTACCAAGAAATGGGTTGAAATGTGTTTAGTTTGTTTAATAAGTAATTGTTGCTTGTACATTACAGCTCAAATATCGTAACCCGAACGCACTGATAGAAAGTTATTGAATCTGGTTGAATTTTGCATATGTAAATAATTGAATTGGTGAAATAATGATGACTTTAGGTCATCTTGTTTTCGAAATATTGAGGTTCGAAGTTTTACGAACAATGGCCAAATCAAGAGAATTGGTGTTAAATTGATAAAAGCATTGACTCCATGATGTGAAGCATCAATTTTTACTGTCAAATGCTAAGTTTCAGCTCGCTAGTTTTTTCAATCACAGAATGCGACAGGTTTAACTAAAAATCGAACTGATCTGCTTTACAGAAAAAGAAGAATTCTATTAATTAAAATAATTGCATTTTCTGATTGATCATCAAAAGTTACATCAGTAAAATGAGTTTCACGAAAAAAACATGGTCGCAAAATTTTACAAAAAGCGATCAAAGTTTCAACTTTGACACCGATTTTCTTGAAAAATTTTCATCATAGAAATTTTTAAATCGCGCAAATAGACTCAGTTTTTATGTCCTCATAAACTAACAGAGTCTAAATTTGAAAGAAATTAATTTGCTTTTTAAATTACACAAGTTTATTAGGTATGAACAATTTTCTGGAGTATTTATTAAATTGAATAAAATATTTTGTTTAATTGCACGCTATTCTAACAAATTTGCTCTGAAAATAAGCTATTTCAACATAATCTCATCAGTTGGGTTTACTGTAAAAAGCTTTTGCTTTGCTGACATACAGATGTGCATTTGTTTACATTTAAAGAGTACATCTATTATAAATTATTTATACCAGTTAAACTGTGATTAATAGTGTCATCATGAGTGACAAAAATTCTGACAAATTTTTGTCTCAAGTCGTGATTCGTCATTTGCCACCAACCATGACAGGAGAACAATTTATGAATGAAATATCCCCGGTTCCAGCTCACAATTATTTCCATTTTCTTAAAGCTGACTTGAGTCTTGGTCAATGGGCTTTCACGCGTGCTTGTATAAATTTTATTCGTAAAGATGACATATTCATATTCAAAGATAAATTTGATGGCTATGTATTCCTTGATTCCAATGGAACTGAATATCCAGCTACCGTTGAATTTTCACCTTACCAGAAAACTCCTAGACGTCGGGTAAATAGCAAAGGTGAACCATTAACTTGTAAACAAAGGGATCCTAAGTGTGGTACCATCGCAGATGATCAAGATTTTAAGAATTTCATGGAAAATTTGAGTACCGCAGAAAGTGAAAAAAATCCAGCATCACTTGAGGGTTACTTGGTAGAGATTGAAGCTCGAGAAAAGGAGTTGAAAGCGAACCATGGAACTGCTAAAGTCATCACACCACTAATCGAATTTATTATCCAAAAAAAGGCTGAAAAGATGAGGCTCAAAGAGGAGAGACGTGAAGAAAGACGAAAACAAATAGAACAGAAAAAGGCCGAAGTTCATAAAAAAGATGACAAAGTTACTAAAGTCAAGCAAAGAGATAGAAAGAATAAAGTAAAAGGTAACATTTCAGGTAAGATCGTTCTCTAACACTGATTCTCCTTATACATTTAAATTTTATAATAAATATCTATATTTTTCTTTTTTTTCATAGTCGCCAAAAATGAGAAAAGGATTAAGGAGAAAGAGAAGGAAAAGGAAAAGGAGAAAGAGAAAGAAAAGGAGAAAGAGAAGGAAAAACCTAAATTTAAAGAAATTCAGAAGGAAAAAGATAAAGATAAAGACAAAGACAAACCTCCCGAAAGAGAAAGAAAAAGAGAGAGAAATCATAATAAAAAAGATCGTGATGGTGATGACAAGAATAAACATGCAACCGGGGCCAGTAAAGATCCTGGGAAGGAAACTGATAAAGATTCCAAAAAGGATAAAAATATTGACAAGAATAGTTATTTTGTCGTAACATATTCTGGAGATAAAGGGAAAGATGGAGCCCGTAGAGGTGATTCTAGTTCAGGGAAGCAATCTCAACAACCTGGTGTATCCAAAATGGATACAAGTCAAAATAATGAAATAAAAACAACAAAGAAAGAAAGCGATTCTTCCAATGACCAAATTTCTCCCAATCAATCGAAAGCTACCCCAAAAGAAAGTAAAAAATCTGATAATCAGAGAGTCAGAAATAAAGATCGACCCGCTTTAGAGATATATCGACCAAGAAGAGCTCGCAATGCGACGAGTAACTCGAACGGATCAAATTCTGAATCAAATGATCGTCCTGAAAATAAGCCAGAAAGAAACATGAGAAAAACAAAAGTATATACACGATCGCGTAATACTGATTAGGATTGTTGTATTTTGGATTGTTTATACTTACCGATATTATTTGTAAATATGATATTATAGTATCAATGTGATTGAAATAATCAGAATCGAATGTCTATAGCTTTGAATAAATGTTTAATTGTTAAAAAAGAAGTTACAAAGCTTGGGTGCAAACTTTTTTCAAAAGCTTTTCATACGGAGCATAATTTATTGTGATTTACATGAACCACTTCACTTTTTCTTTCAATCGTAACTAGTAAAATTAGTGATTTGATGGAATTGTAAACAAACTGGTTGAGTTTATTCTGTCACAAGAAAATATAGTTGACTATAAAATATTATGAATGAAGAGAATATAAGGCTTAATGAATGAATTGGACAGAAAAGATAATAGAAATGGGAAACTAGATAATTTGTCATATTGTTGGACAAAAAGCTTTAGAACAATGGGCGTTTCTTCTGTCTCCTGTTAGATGTCCATGGATTTAAAACTTGTGATTGCAATGATCCACCGACAACTCGAGATCCGATCGATTGTCGTCTGTTAACAGCTTCTACTAATGGCGCTGGTTTGGGTTGCTCGGATACTGGATCGCTGATCAGTTCTGACCAAAAGTCTGATGGAAGATTTAGTAGTGCTTCTAAAGTTTTTATCTGAGCAGAAGTTTCAGAATAAACGGACACAGTTAATATTTCTGTGTTGGAGGAATATCCTATAATTGTAGGTCCAAGCACTTTGGCAATGTTTGAGATTGGCATATTACAATGAGGAGAGGACATGACACGTTTCAAGTGGAGAATTAAATATGCCAATGTATGTTTATTTGGTATGGGCAAATCAGAAACTGCTTGGATAAGATATGGCCGACGGTCTTCACTATTCTCCATCTTAGCAGCATCAATAAAATCTTTCCATAGAACTCGAGTGATCAATGGATCATCCAAACGATTGAGGAAATTTCTGATTACTCCACACAAAACATGAACATCAACATGCGAAATAATAGGAACTCCACTTTTCGATCTGAGAAATTTTTCCACCAATCCTTTGACCTCACTGTCTGATCCAGGTATTCTATAGAGCCCAGGTTCGTTCAAGCCTCTTCTTTCGATTTCCCGGCAGCAATGGACAATTATTCCAGGTATACACGGTCTTGAATTTGGATTAACGAAGTCAGCAATGGTTAGCAAGCGCCCTTTTTTATCTATTTGATTCGACGTTGTGTACGGAATGCAAGGCGTTGGTAGCTTTGTTTTACAGGCACCATGGACACAAGCGCGACAATCAGCGCATCGAAAATAGGCTGCATAGAATCCAAATTTGCTGTTGCAAACCGTACAAGTTTCGTTACTTCTGAACAATTTTTTCGGTGCAAATGAATGAGCACGATTTTCAATTCGACTTTTACTTTGGCTTCCAGGAAGTAATGTTGGTTTTGAAATATTTTCTTTGATTGGAGTAAGATTCTGTGTGCTTGCGAACTTGATTTCCGCTAAAATAAAAAAACAATTTTATTAGTTAATAATTCAAAGATTAAGAATGTACTTATATATAACTTACTTTGCTTTCTATTCTCCTCAGCTGCGAGCAAGTTTTTGTTACTTGTGAATTTGATTTCTCCTGAAAATAGACAAATAAATAATGGTTAAATGACAACGATGATTGTAAAAAATCGAGATCTTACCTCTTCTATCATTCATCGGTTCATCAATATCATCCTCAGATTTATCAAAATCATCATCCGACAGCAATTCACTTGAGAAGTTGATCTCGTTTATTTTTGACAGACCCTCACGGTCTCGGCACACAGAAGCGCGCATAGCAACTTCTTTTTTGTAGGCTTCTTTAGTGTTTTTTAGATTGGCTGAAAGTTTATGATTTTCCAATTCCAGCAGATTGCATCGTTCTTTGAATTCTTTAACTTCGTTTTGAGCATAATTAAGTTGCTCGTTCAAAGTGTCAATTAGCTTTACCATTTCAATGGAAAAATCGGTTAACTCAGTGTTGTATGGAATCAAACGGCGCACCAGATCGTCAAAATTGGCAACCAAAGAAAGGGTCAAGTTGGTTTCCGCCATGATCAAAAGTTGAAATTAAAAAAAAAACGTTTAAACTAACTTGAAAAAATTGAAATAATAAAATAACTAATTAATATCCACAACAAGTCAACTTTGCCTCCAAAAGATTTTGGTTTTCAAAACATTAAATTCAACCGATTTACCACAATCCCACCCATAAATGCGCGCGCCACTTTCAAATTTCTAAGCATATTAAAACCAGTTTCTCATTTAAAAGTATCCTTAGCTTTATTTTTATACACAATGCAATGAAATTATTATGCGATTTAACTTGAGCATTAGGATTCAATACTATTAAAGTACTTAATTCATGTATTAATTTAATCAAGCATTAGGCTCATGCTCTTAAATAAATAACACCAGATGTGTGAAAAAAGATATAAGTTAGGATCAAGAATCCTTCAATAGCTACAAATGGTTACAGGATCTTAATGGTTATAAACAGGTTAAAACATGATTATAATCGGGTAAAATTCAAAGCCCAGATTTTAGCAAAAAACAAAGTATTTGTCATTAGCAATCTCGTACTTTATTTCATTTATCAATAATATTCAAATCATAGTCAGTCGAAAATTTCGACTCGAAAGTTGCACGTCATCAATAATCACTGTATTGTCTGTTTACCACTTTAAAGACTTTAATGTAATCTCATTGCTGAAATGTTTAGATGAGATTACAATTTTCTTTACCTTAAAACTGTAAGTCTGCCCTTTTAAATTGAATAAAGTCGCAGTTAATGTTCATTAGATAAGCGATTCTCTCAAGCTTGTCGAAAAAATTCTATTTTTTATTCTATTCGATTTTCAAATGCGGCGGTCTAAAATTTGTAACCACATAGTAACCGGTTAAGCAACTGATGGTAAAGTAACCAGAGCTACTGACTTTGCTAACCAAACTTGCGAGTTATCAGATAGTCTCTAACAAGGACCCAATTTTACTGAGTCCTAATATCACTGTTGTGTTTTTTGCATTAACAAGAAAAAAGACAAATTATAAATAATTTACAATTATATTTAATCTAAATTTTGCTAGTCGCTCCGTTCCACAAGTATCATCACCAATGCCTTCTAAGGTGTTCACTTAGAATCAAGAAAACCCTGGACGGATAAAGGATTTAAAGAGACATTTCCTTTCCTTAGTTTAAATTGTGAAGGAATATGTCGGATTTAAAAGGATCCCCTAACATCAAAGATTCCTTTGATCAGCCAAATTGTCTTATCGACAAGGAGGGCTTGACTTTAGCTCTTAAACACTTCACAAGTTCAACGCTAACCATGAGATTGGCCGGTATAACACAGATCAACAATTACATTAATCTGTTTAATGATTACTGTCAATCAGATGGTGGAGGTGGTAATGGGAATGGAAATGGAGGCAATGACAATGGGCTTGATTTTCTTGGAAAACCATCTGACGGAGAAGAATTAGCAGACTGGATTTTGGAGAATAAAATCATTGAGCATATTTTTGGTCCAAATCTCCATGTTGAAGTTATAAAGCAAAGTCATATTGTACTCAATTTTGTTGTCTCTCAATTAACAAAGGAACACATTGACGTTATTTGGAGTTCTGCTCAGCTTAAGCATTGTAGTCGCCAAGTTTTTGATATTCTTACACCATTGATTAAGAATATGAATATAGACGCTGTTCTTCACCTGAATTCATTAATACGTAATTTGGAACCCAAGGACCACACCGAGCAAACACTCCTTCTTTCGTCGTGTCTCCTTAAAATTATTTGGACAAAGTCACTCAATCTTTGTGAACCGGCTACATTCATCAGAGAATGCAATCCACTTGACGATCTTACAATGGTTAAAAGTCCAATATTCACATTATTACCTGGATCACCTTTGGACCAAAGGCATGGAGATCAGAGTAGCTCAAGTCCCAGTGTAGATAATAGTGATGAAGATGACGAAGATGATTTTGAGCTTTCGATGAAATATAAACCTCAACCTAAAGAACGTGTTAAAAATAACCTTACTTCAGATAGTCAACAAAGCTGTGGTAGTCAGAGTTCCTCGGATGGAGGAGGATATGAAAACAATAAGAATTTATCGCCATTTAGAACATCTCACCGAATTATCAATACAATAAGAATTGAGGATGATGTACCGTTTGTTGCTGAAATGGAAGAAGATTTACAAAAAGGAACAACGGATTCAGATGAAGATTGCTCTACCTTAATTGGTCCCATGCCTGTACAAAGGCCTCACCTGATAGAACCACTCAAGAAAAGTGATGCGCCTTTAGTATTGGATATTAATGACCCAAGATTACCTATGAACCATATCTCCGCCACTCATCTGAATAAGATTGCCGACGAAGACGAAGATGAAGAAGAAGATGACGATGAAGACGAAGACGAGGACGAGGATGATGATGTTGATGGAGGGGCGCTACCTCGTTTAGTAAAAGCTAGTCTATCTGAACAGACAGATGGACTTCCAATGATGATCATGTCCGATTCCGAAGGTGATAATCTGTTAAGTGACAGTGGAAGTAATAGTTCACAAGTAAGTCAATCATCTCAAAAAAATATGGCTGATTTCGATGGTGAAGACTCGGCATCTTATTTCAACATTGATGATTTTTTCGACCCTTCACGTAAACTGATTCTTCAAAGCCCTGCTGCTACTCAATTAGCAAACATTGCTTGTCTTCATTCGCGTAATTTTCCAGAAAAGAAAAGAACAAAGCACCAATCTGAGGGAAATGTGACCACAGCTACTCCTGTAACACTTCCGGTTCCTAATGAGGATAGTGAATCAAATAGTGAACTATCTAAGTTTACCATCGATAATGTTTGTAAATCAGGTCAGACTATTTTATGGGATCTTCTTCAAGACGATTGTATCGGCCAACTGTCCGATGGATTATCTCATGACTGTGAAAAAATTCTGTGTAGCTTAATTTGCTGGATTGCCGATAAGCGAATAAGGATGAAATTTATCGAAGGATGTCTTGATAATCTGTCCAAAAACTATTCCATCATAGTATCATTACGTTTGTTGCCTAAACTGTTCATCTCATTTCAACAATACCGTGGAGGCAGTGATACCCATTCAATTACTTTGTGGGCTGACAAAGAGAGACAAATGTTGAAACACTTTTTCTCTAATCTTATTCTCTATGCTAAGAGGAGAGAAATAAAACCTACTAGCAACTTATCAGGGTCTCCACACGAATTGTATACTCACACAGAAGAGATACAATCAAGACTTCAATTTCTGACTTTTATCTTTTCATACGCTGGTTCTCCTGAAAGCTTTCAATTGTCCAAAGAACAAGTTGATACTCTATGGAACTGTTTGGCAACTGACAAAGAGTGTAGCGATGAATTATTTAGCTGGTTATTGAATCAAGTTCGTACTCGTGATCAACATGCTTTAGGGCCCGAAATGTTCAAATACATTCTAACAGTGAAAATTCCCACATTGACTCCTGATAATTTTTCTATGGTTACTCTTGAACTTCTGCAACAATTATTTGGTTTTGTTCTAACTCGTCCTCAGATGAGTGAATCAGCTGACATTGCAATCAAGAAACTGTGGGACATAGCTTTACTAGCATCTAACTCTTATGTTAGTATGGCAGCAATTAGAAATTTGAACAGTTATTATGTCCATCTTCCCATTTCTGGTCTAACTAAGGAGGAAGAGTTCATTGCCCAATGTATGGACTATATTAAATCATCTTCTGCCGTTTTGAATGAGGACGAGGATAAAAATTTAACTATTATTCAGAGAGCATTAATTCTTCTCAAGACGCATCTTGAAGCATTTCGTTGTCGATTTTCATACCATTTAAGACTTTTTCATCTTAACGGTGATGTTTCTGTAATGAGTCACTGTGACAATTGTAGTTCCAGAGGAAATCAACAAGTGATCAAAATTATTTGCCATCCAGCATCATCAAATGAAAAAACATTTTTTGATATGTACTCGACTGATTTTGTTGGTGAACTTCGTGCTGAAATTTACCATTGGTTTCAAACGGTTGTCAAAAAATGTAAATCTGGTTCAAGCGAAGATGAAAAGCAAGCCTTTGATGGTCCTTTAAGGTTGTTGTCTCAAGGACAAGAATTGACTCATGATCTCGATGAAAAAACTCTCGCTGAGATGGGCTGTAAAGACAACCAAGTTGTTTATGTGTCTATTGGTGTGAGTCGTCCCAGTCGGAAACTTCGTGATACTATTGACCCTGCATCATTGTTACCACCGCCTCCTAAAAATCGTTTGCCTTCTATCCTTTTACTTCAGCCTAATTATTTTGAACAACTTTTTAGCTTAATGCAACTTTTAGGCTCGATGAAGTCTTCATCATCTACTCGAGCTCAGATTCTATCTCGGCAAGTATGGGAAATCATTAACATCCTTCCAACCTCACCTGATTTGTTAAAATCATTCCAAAGTATAACTGTTAATGATGAAACCAGTGACTCATCAAACAATTTATCCCTCCGAGTTAACAGTCTGCTTAATCCAAGTAGTCCTCAAAAATTAATCTACTCAGTTCAAATAGTAGAATGGCTTCAAAGAACATCAAAAAATGAAGAGAATGGATGGGCTCAAAAATTTATTGACTGTGTTGGCTTACAGCATTTATTTGATATTTTTGTGTCCGGTGTATTGCAACAGGGTGATTCTGACACTTGGAATGAATGGAAACAAGACTGTCTTGCCTCTTTACTACATCTGATATACCAGTTTGGTATTGACCCACTACCGAAAGATTGTAACAAGCAAGATGCTACTAATAATAGCAATAACCATAACACCATCAACAACGCTAACATTACCAATAGTATTAGCATTACAAGTAACAATTCAATTACGACAATTAATTCAGCTAATACAAGTATAACAATTACTGCATTTCCAACTCATCCATCTTCTAATCTCATGAGTAACAAAGGCTTTACCGAATTTGGCAAACGAAAAAGAAATCCAAAAGCTACCGTTGATAAACTTTTAGTTCACCAGTTCAATGAGAAACTTTTGGAAATGCTTCGTGATGCTGAATCAACGTTAAAAGTTTTACTGACTGTTCTCAATGAAACAACTTCAATCTCAGCTGAGTCCAACTATCAGACCCGTTTCTGGGGTCGTGCTCAAGTTGTCCATAGTACTCTTCAGTTCCTCATTTCTTGGGCTTTCTCCGATCCTCAAATCAAATGTTCTCTTTTTCAATATCCTAATTTCAATTCTTTGCTAAAAAAATTGGTCCTTGATGATCCTGACCCAGCAGTACGTAGAGAAGCTTGTACAGGGTTTTATAGAATGTGCCTTGGAAGTACGTCTTCACGTAAAACTGGACATATCTTTATACCTCAAATGTTAAGCTCTCTTTTGGCCTTTCTTTCTGAAGCTCAAGCTATGAAACCACTGATCATTGAGCCATCATCTTCATCCTCAACATCTGCTTCATCTCCTTCTTCAGCCTCCTCATCATCATCTTCATCATCATCATCCTGTTCCTCTTCTACTTCAGCATCAGCTCACGTCAATGATACTATTGGATATATTGACAAAGAACCGTATGGACCTGGTTGTAAAGACTATTTTTGGCTCGTGTGTCGACTAATTGATTCTCTAGATGATTCGAATAGAAATGAAATGATGGAAGATTTAAACAATTTGTGTTATTACATGGCATCAACAATTGAGAATCGAGAGATCAATGAAAGTCGATATAGCAGTGCTGAAGATGAAGGTCTTCGTGGTTTATTGTCTTTAATGACGGTTACAATTAAACAGAACCCACCTTACATGTTTTCAGAAGAGGGAAATAAATTTTTAATCATAGTTTTTGATCTTCTGTTTGCTACTCCAACTCAAAAAGATAAAAATTTGCCTAAATGTAAATCTCAAGCCACTCGATCTGCTGCTTACGATTTGCTTGTTGAGCTGACAAAAGGCTGTGAAACAAACACTATCACTCTGCTCAAATTATTATTGAACCAACATAAATCATCTTCACATGCCTCTTATCCTTGGGATTATTGGCCTCACGATGGTTGTCGTTCAGAATGTGGCTACGTTGGCTTGTTAAATCTTGGTGCTACCTGTTACATGGCCTCTTGTGTTCAACATCTTTTCATGTTTCCTCAAGTTCGAGCTGCTATCTTGTCATCTAAAGTTACGAATGAAACCAAACACGCAACTATTTTACAAGAATTGCAAAAGATGTTCGCTTTTCTATCTGAAAGTGAAAGAAAAGCTTACAATCCTAAAAGTTTCTGTAAAGTTTATACCATGAACAGTCAACCCTTAAATACTGGAGAGCAAAAAGATATGACAGAATTTTTTACTGATCTCATCAGCAAGTTGGAAGAGATGTCACCACAACTCAAAGAAACAGTTAAAAGTTTATTCGCTGGAACATTGTCAAGCAATATAGTCACAGATTGTGGTCATATCAGCAGAACAACTGAAGAGTTTTATACATTAAGATGTAAAGTGGCTGACATGAGGCACCTTTGGGATTCATTAGATGAATTAACGGTGAAAGATACTCTAGAGGGAGATAATTTGTATAATTGCAGGTGTGGACGTAAAGTGAGAGCAGAGAAAAGAGCTTGTTTGAAGAAAATTCCCAGAATTTTAAGTTTCAACACAATGCGTTATTTATACAACATGCCAACTCAGACAAAAGAAAAAGTCAACACTTACTTTTCTTTTCCTCTAAGACTGGACTTGTCTCCATATTTGGAAGAAAATTTAATTCCTGAGGAAGGTGCTACTTCTAAGAAAGATAACATCAAAAATAAGAGCAATTCCGAAAAGAGTGATAAAATTAATTGTGATGATAACTGTTTAGAGAATGGTGTCTCAGATTCAGAGGTCAATGGAGTTGATGTTAAAGTCGACGAAAAGAGTGCAGATGCTACAGAGGATAAGAAGCAAGAAAAAGTGAATGAGGACGATGACGATGATGATGAATCAACCGAGTATGAACTTGTTGGTGTTACTGTTCATACAGGAAATGCTGATGGTGGACATTATTATTGTTTTATTCGTGAACCAGATCCCTTAAAAGGAAAAGATAAATGGTACATGTTTAATGATGCTGAGGTTAAACCTTTTGATCCTAGTCAAATAGCTGCTGAGTGTTTTGGAGGTGAAATGACCAGTAAAACATACGATTCGGTTAATGACAAGTTCATGGATTTCTCTATTGAAAAAACAAATAGTGCTTATATGTTATTTTACGAGAGGCTTTCTAAAAGCAAAAAAAGTGAAACCAATGAAAGTGATAATGCCGATAATCATTGTTTAAAGGCAAAACCTGCGATAGAGTTGAATCCAGATATCGCTAAATGGATCTGGGAAGATAATATTCAATTTCTTCGGGATAAAAGTATTTTTGAACCAACCTACTTCAACTTTATGTGGCAGGTTTGTGGATTTATACCATCAACACTTCAAGATCCAAAACGAGTTGCTCTGCTTAATGCACAATTAGCCACATCATTTGTATTAGAAACATTCATTCACTCCAAAGAGAAACCATCAATTGCCAATTGGATAGAATTATTGACCAAACAATTTAATACCAGTCAACAAACATGTGAATGGCTTTTAGAAACATTAGCAGAAGATTATCATAACTGGCCCGTTCAAATTTTGATAAAATGCCCGAATCAAATGGTACGCCAGTTATTCCAGCAATTAATTATTCACGTAATTTCGCAAATTCGTAGCTCTCAAGAAGAGTTGTACAAAAAAGGCCTTCAAGAAGATGTTGCAAATGGAGATATGAAAGAATCTTCATTTTCTTCTTCATCTTCACCCTCGCCATCTCCGACTCAATTTCCCGCACCATATTCATCCACAACTTCGTCACCACCTCCACCATCTATTTCTCAGCAACAAACTCAACCACCGTCCTCATCAAATACATCAATCCCATCATCACCAACACCTTCAACATCCTCATCGCCATTATCCTCTACATCAACTTCCAAAGGACATTGTGTGGCTCGTTTCATTCGTCGTTTGGTATCCTTAGCAGAGTGCAATAATAGTTTGGTTCGACCTCACTTGAGGCATTTAACTGAATACTTTACCTTACTTTTTGAATTTTCAAAACTCGGTGAAGAAGAAACAAACTTTTTGCTTCGTATCAATACAATCTCCATTGTAGTGCAATTCTATCTCAGTCATTATAAAGGTGCTGGAGAATGTATTGAAATACTTTCTGATGAAGATGAAGAAGACGAAGAGGAAACTGTTCAAAGTTTATTCCTTCATGGTTTTCGAGCCCATGCCGCAATGCCTCCTATAAACTTACCCGAAAAGTATCCCAGACCTGCTTCTCTTGATAAAATGATTACCTTTGTGTCAAGTTTAATTGAAAAATCTCGTTCTTCGTCAAACAGTAATCAACTTGGTTTAAGTTCGAGTGATTTAGAATCCGTTCTTGGTGGTAAAAGTTTCCCTTTCATTCAGAGACAAATTCGTGACAATATAAATCTTCGCCAAAGTTTTAACCTTATTTGTAGTCTTTCCCGTTATAATGAGGCCACAGCTCAGGGCATTGTCAATATGCTATTGCATTCAATTTCACGTCAACCTGAAACAAGTCAACCTTTTTTTCGCATTCTTTCAATGCTAGTCGAGCTATCACCCGAACAAAGTGGTCTGCCCTCCTTCAGTAATCTAATATATCCAAGGATTTGGGAAATAGCTGAGCAAAATCCTCACCATTGTTTGGAATGGTTAACAGCACAAGTACCTCGCAATAAGGCTGCCCATAGTCTGGTGTTATTCAATCTTAACAACTGGGTTGAATATTTTCTCCTTGCTCACAACAATCAACGTGTTCGTAATGCAGCTGCTCTTTTAATAATTTCTTTAGTACCCAACAACTTGTTTCGACAATCATACTTTAAATCGCCCAGAACTCTTATGTTAACTACACGGGAATCAATGGAATTGACCAATGAAGCAATTCAAATCATCCGACAAGTATTTACTTGTTTGTTACAACACTTAAAGAATGCAAAAAATTACTTGGACCCTCAAAATCATGGAACAGCCAAATTAACGTCTTATTTTGCAGTAATGGCATATTGTTTGGTTAGTCGTCAAGAAAAACTCATGTTGGTTCCTTATTTTTCTGACCTGTGGAATCTTTTTCAACCTAAACTCAGTGAACCTGCTATCGCTATTAATCAAAATAAACAAAGCCTCCTCTACTTCTGGCATCAAGCTTGCATAGATTGTCCAGAGAATATTAAATGCATCATTCAAAATTCTCATGTGACCAAAAATATTGCATTCAATTATATCCTGGCTGATCATGAAGATCAGGAGGTTGTCCTGTTCAATCGGATGATGTTACCCTCATACTATGGTTTGCTTTATCTTTGTTGCATCCAATGTCGCTCATTTACACGACATTTGGCTCTTCACCAGAATATTCAGTGGGCTTTCAAAAATATAACGCCTTATTATACTCAATATCAATCTGCTGTTACAGAGTTATTTAAACTGATGAAACTGTTCGTCACTGTTCATCCAGATTGCTCTGATGCCGAGTTACGTGACATTTTACAGTTCAAACGAAATACTCTTCAAATGTACCTAACCTCAATGGATTCCCGTTCATGTTGGACTACTTTAATCACGGCTTTCACTATACTTATTGAGAATGAAGAAGATCAAATTTTCGCTATTCTCAATGGTGGTATAATAGCCTTTATCCAATCGTTTAATACACTTTTCATGATGTTTCATGAAGCGACTGCCTGCCACATAACAAATGAAATTGTAGATCTTCTTAAATTGTTGACTAGTTTATTGATAACTTTGAGAAACTCACAGCAACCTGAAGTTCGTGAATGGTCAGCGAAATGGAAAGATCATTTAGAACTTATTCGAAAATTAATTCTTTTGTTGAATACTTTCACTCCAAGTGAAGTTCGCAGTTCGTGCATGGGTAAGATACAATTTTTCAAAACCTTCCTTGGCTTCATTTTGCTAATCATTTTATTTTTTCTTCTCTAGCTGTTCTTCTTGAAATAGTGCAAATCCATCCTAAAGATTGTATACCATTGGTGGTTCAGACTCTGGGCTTAGGACATTTAACATTCCAAGACCAATTGTTAAATTGTAAGATTCTATTGTAATTTTCTTATTTAAAAAACCTGGAAAACTAACCTTTTCTTTATTTTTCCTCAGTTTCCGCGGGTCCATTTTTCCCAAGAAGAGGGCAAAGGGCAACTTTATCCAAATCAAGTCTAAGACCATCTAGACCTGTTTTCCAAATGCATTTTCACCCTAAAATGCTGGAAGTTAATCTAGGAGCAGATGAAGATTATGATAAAGCCATAATAGAGTATTACTTGCCATATTATAAATTTATTTGTGATTTATGTCGGATTGCAGTCTCGCAAAATATTGTTAATCCAGAGCTTGTTGGTCTTTGTAAGTATTCAACATTGTGAATGATTTTTTTTGCTCTGTGTATATTTTTATCTAACTCAATTGTTCATCTATCAAATTATTACAGGTTCAATGGTGGCTTCAGAATCTTTGCTTATGCAAATAATATTATTTCCAGAGTTGTGGCTGAGTTATTCTAAATCATGCGACGATGGAGAACAAGAATTTTTCAATCTACTTTGTACATCGAGCAATTATTTCAGAGACTATATTTGCATGATATTGACTGGTGATCGTAATTTTCTCAATGAAGATACTGTATTTGAGCTCGTTAAAGCCTGTCTCTCTAAAGTAAGTCGCAATCTTATTTTCAAAATTGAATCTCAACTAATCCACTTTTCGCTCTTGTTTTTTGCAGGTTTATGGTCTCATTATTAATCAGCATTTCGTTTTGAAAATGTTAAATATTGTCAACTCACTTCGAGAAAGATTAGATCACACAGATTTACTCAAAGATGCTAAGAGTTTAATAGGGGTAAGTAATTGCTGTTTAATGATAAAATCAGCATATAACTTATCTAATTCATAAATTGTTCTTTCAGGATATTCGTGCTATTATTTTAATTATGGGCTGTGATCCTCCATCCAATATTTCAAACGAGCTTAAAGCTCCAATGCTCAAATTTAGAGAAAAATGTTTGAGTTTGAAAGATGTTTCTGAGGAAGTATTATTTGAGCATGGTACGTATTTCTTGAGTAAATTACTTTTCCACGTTTGATCTAATATATTTTATTTTATTATTTACAGAAACGCCACACAAAAAGCGTAAAACGCGAGAAGATTTGTCCATGGATGAGTCAAGCAAAGATGTTTTGTCCGAAAATGATGAAAATATGAAAGATCGTCTTGAAAAGACAATAATGGAATTACAAAAGGTTTTGGACAGTAGTTGAAGTGTTACTTATTTAATAAGGAGCTTATTTGATAATTGAACATGGAGTTAAGCAAACACAAAAATGATACAAATATTAGAGGCAAAAAAACACTGCGCTGTATAACAAAATATATTGTAAATGTTTCGTTTGACTATCTTCATACCTTTACGCCTCTATTTTTGGTCTTTTCTTTCTATCCCTGTCATCTTCATTCACTAAAACTCTTCTCTTTCCTTTGCTCTGCTTTCAACCCACTTTTTTTACTTTATAATTTTCACAGACATGTAATTTCATTGCACATTTCACTTTTCCTATTCTATCCTTCGTTAAAGAATAGCATCAATAAGTCATACAATTCATAACAATTCATAAATACTTTCATATACACATAAAACTATCTCATCTAAATGCCAGAAAAAAAACACACTCTTGCAGACCTACATTGACTCACAAGTCAGTGTCGCCGTATTCATGATCATGCCCTCAACTAATAAGTCCATAATGTTTTTGTGATGAAATCAAGAGACCTTATAAATATAAATTATATTATATATTATATATTATATGAATGGTTATGACCTGAAAGAGAAACAAAATAATCAAATGGAGTTGGTTTATGTGTATTAAAATCGTGTCAATTGCAACAATTCACTTATATAAATATAAATGTACAGTGATTCTTAAGATAGAGAAGAGAGTAAATGATTGAAATGTTGATCGTTTAATTGATCTGAAAGACAATAATAAATGGGGATGCAAATTGAAAAAAATAAAATTGAATGACCAAATGAGATTTTTATTATAATTTTGGATTCATCTAGGAATCAACTTCATCAACGAATCACAATGAAAATCACCAAAAAAACTAATTGTAAATCAAAAGATTTTGTTATGAGACAAGACTAAACCAGTTAACCATTTTCTGGTTATCGACATCTTCACCAATTATTTCTCACTCTCTTCTTAAATTGCTAACTTTTTCGTGATCATGATTATCATTTTTATTCAACTTTTCACTTTCCATTTCCCTTGGACTTATACAGATTTATTCACTTCACTTCATTTAGCTATCGTCAAAATATAATTTGGAAAGTTGTAAACAAATGATGTAAATCAAAAGATATAAAAAGCCATTACAATCTTACAATTGCTTATTTTATTTCCTAATTGTCTTCAAATACAATATACATTATATTGTATGGAGCAAATAATCATAACGGGCAATAAAAAATATGTAATTTCGATTTATTTGAGATTAAGTCCACATAAAAGATCTTTAGATATTAAACAAAACAATCAATCACGATTGGATATGTAAAAACAAGTGAAAGGATAAATTTTTAAATTAAATTTGGTGGATTGTTAAGTCACTAGAAAAAACATCCACACCTTTGTAAATTAGTAAAATTGACTGTTTGAGATTCACTCCAATTATTTGGAATAGGATATATTTTGTTCAATTTTTTGAATAATGAACACTCTCTTGATTTGGTTGATTCATCGATCAACTGGCGAAGGTCGTTGATTTCATCCAATTGTTGATGATTGCTTTTAAACCAACCATCATAGTCTCTAATAAAATCAACAATTTCTTGTCTGAGGATCGCTCGCAAGTTTCGAGTCAATCTAATTTGACTATTGAGTCCGTCATTAATAACAATTTGATAAATAATTTTGGCAAAAATAGCTATCATTCGAGTTTTCAGTCGGTTGATATGGTTGGATCTTGAATAATCAGCCAGTAATTCTAAATTGGGTTCCATAATAAGACGTTTCACATATGGAATGATTGGCTCATTTTGATTAACTGTAAAAGAAAATATTAAAATTAATTCAAATTCAACAAACAAGTCTTGTAATGTTAATCTTACTTGAAGTTGCTGCGTTTTTCTGTTGACTGATTCTATGAGCGAAAGTCTGTAGTGCTAATTTCTGTGTACCATTGATTATTTTTTCTTCCAATATCTCGATTATATTATTTAACAATCCCAAAATTTCATTATGGCTAAAGGGTTGTTTGTCCAGTGAAAGTGATTTTACTCGCTTGTCCAGAACCTTTGGAAAGCAACAAATTAATTAATGGGATTAATGAGTGTATTTAGTATATTTAGACATCAATATTTAGTCTGAAAAACTTGTAAACAAACCTGAATATCTTTGAAAAATTGGATTAAATCTTTCAGGGGTTTTCTATTAGATAGATTACTAGTGTGAGTTATCATTAATCTCAAGAGAGAATCAATTTGTTTGATTGAGCAAATCTGATAAACTCCGAAGGTTCCATAATCCATCTCTTGATTCACTATCGAAATTAAACTGTTGATCAAACATACAGCATCAGGAACATAATTTATATTCTCGTTACGACCAAATACTTGGTTATTCCGATCGGAATTGATTCGATAGATATCTAAATAAGCTGAAATTAGAAAAAAATATTGTAGCAATCAATAATTAAGCGAGACTCTTGAAAGATTGGACTTACTTTTAAACCAGCTTTGATCAGTTAGATGATAATTCAATACATTTGAAATTTTCTTAATCTCCTTGATAGCTTCGGATGGAAAATCATTTTCTTTAAGACAACTATCGAGCGAAGCAAAAACTAGCTTTTGAAAGGTTTTCGGTGTGAAAAAGATTGGCGATGAAGCTGAAGTCATTAAAACGTTGTTTTGGGCAAATAATATATCATCAATTAATTGTCCGGCAAAATTTTTCCAAAATACAGGCCAATAAAGATAGTCATAACAATTTGATGAATTTAGGATAGGATTATTGGAAGCACTTGAATATTTTATTTTAGACCAAGTTGCTCGAGTTGGATTGGATTTAGCAGCTGTTGATGGACCTAACAACGATGAACTACTTTGATTTAGTTTATTATGGGATTTGATTGTGGTGTTTGATGAAGATGATAAAGGGGAAATGTTTGTTGATTCATTTGATGCAGTTTGCAATAGGAATGATAGTTTGAGAACGATCCGTTGTGATGAAGATAAAACAATTGACAAATAAGATGCTAAGTCAATTGATTCACCTGATTGAGTCAAAATACAATTTTTATCCGTTGATACACTACTTGTTGTACTATTAGTGTAATAATCAGATGTTGATCCGGAATCAAGCTTTGTTTTAAGACGATGATTGGGTGGAGAAAGTGCTGATGAAGATGACTGATTGATTGTTGTTACTTTTTTACCCTTTGGTACTAAAGCTGGTAAGATTATCAATTTATCTGTAACTGGATCTGTAGTAGCTTTTTCCTCGTTGTTTAGTTGATCGGCTCGACGTTTGGCTGATGTTATCTTTTTGGCTTCACTTTGTATTAAAAAAGAGATGCGAGTTGAAGCGGCTTCTGCTTGGGTTAAGGACAATATACTGATTGGATCGATTGATTCTGTTGGCCAAATTTGATTAAATGTTAAACACGAAATGAACACATCATTGAGCGTTTCAAAAGGGAGATGATCCCAATAGATTGCCATTATCTTTATGTTTATGGTGAGAGTCAAGGCAAGCCAATGGAGAATTGTCACTTTGATTTTTTCCAATTTAATTGCAGTTTTCTCGACCATCAAAACGGCCAATCTTTCCTTAGGAATACGATAATTGATATTTAATAGTCTCTGGCAATTGTTGAGATTATCAATCCATGAATTGAAGCGATTCTGTGTTTCATCTGGAAGTCGTTTACGTTTCTTACTAGTAATGATGAAATCATCCAGAGCAATTTTACGATCTTTTTCAGGTAAATTTATCAAATTGCAAGCAGTCTCTAATTTGTATTGATCTTCCGTGTAAATAGTTTCAATTTGTCTAACAAAAGAATGGCCTTCTTGAATTAAAGTGATACAATCTTCTTCGGCAATAGATTTTATTTTCTCTAAAAGAAGTCGTTGCAGCTTCAATTTACAGTCGACCAATGTAACCCAAGATTGACTGGACTGCTTGGCCTCAATTGAATCAATGGACTGGTCAAATCTTTCGAGTAACATCGACCCCTCCAAAAGGAGTGGATCATCACCAGGATAGGGATCATTATATCTAAAGAAAAACAATAGAATGTGATGTTAAAAACAAATGTACAGGAAAATAGTAACAATAGATATACAACTGAATCAACAGATGGACTTATTACAGTAACAAGTAAGTTGTAAGTAACATCGATAACATTGTTATCCACCGTTGAGGTTTGAAAAAATACACTATTAAACAACTTGAGCTAAATGTCAGATGTTAATCAAAAACCTTACCTCATAATCTTGACCAACTCATTTTGTCTTTCTGGTTTAACACGAACTTTGGAGCAGATTTCCATGACACCTGAATCACCTCGGAACGTTCTATTCAATCGAGGACATGACTTTTCCTTCTCATACCTTCTTGATTGGCCAGACGATTTGTTGGGTGTCCTAAGCAATAGATCTTGTGACTGGTGTTGATTGGGAGCCTCCAGACTCATTTTACGTTGGCTGCTTAACACTTTATTCAAAGAACTTCTTTCAGTCGATGAACTTGGCCGAGCTTTTCTAACTGGTGGTAAATTTGGTCCATTGTTGATACAATTACTTTGATTAACCTTATTATAAATAGACATTGTTTCTCATGTTGTTGCACAAAAAATTGATTTTTCACTTTTCTCTTCTTTCATCTCTTTCTTTCAATACTGAAAAGGTGAAAACATTAAAATCTTTTGCTTGCAAGTAATGAAACATCAAGCTAGACTCGAGGTTCAGAGATAAACAATTTGCTGTTGCCATTGGATACATTAAGCATGCAATCAAGCAGGATATTGAACTTGTTCACCAAATATTAACCTTTTACTGTATTTCCTTCATTCTTGAATATTTATTTTACCTCATACAATTCATAAAATCGTGTCAATGGCAACAATTCACTTATATAAATATAAATGTACAGTGATTCTTAAGATAGAGAAGAGAGTAAATAATTGAAATGTTGGTCGTTTAATTGATCTGAAAGACAATAATAAATGGGGATGCAAATTGAAAAAAATTAAATTGAATGACCAAATGAGATTTTTATTATAATTTTGGATTCATCTAGGAATCAACTTCATCAACGAATCACAATAAAAATCACCAAAAAACTAATTGTAAATCAAAAGATTTTGTTATGAGACAAGACTAAACCAGTTAACCATTTTCTGGTTATCGACATCTTCACCAATTATTTCTCACTCTCTTCTTAAATTGCTAACTTTTTCGTGATCATGATTATCGTTTTTATTCAACTTTTCACTTTCCATTTCCCTTGGACTTATACAGATTTATTCACTTCACTTCATTTAGCTATCGTCAAAATATAATTTGGAAAGTTGTAAACAAATGATGTAAATCAAAAGATATAAAAAGCCATTACAATCTTACAATTGCTTATTTTATTTCCTAATTGTCTTCAAATACAATATGTATTATATTGTATGGAGCAAATAACCATAACGGGCAATAAAAAATATGTACAATTTGATTGCTTCAGACACTAGTCATAATATGGATTGATTGAATTGAAATTTTATGGAGAAACTGTTTGTCTCAAGATATTTATATCAATTAACAATTATTATCGCTAATTAATAGATTGTTCTCGTATTATTAACATCACAAGTTTTTTCATCTGATTCATTTCCATCCATTGCCACTCTTTAGAGGTTTGGATCGTATTAGATTCTAACAAAACTTATCAGAATTTGTTCTCTTGATTTGGTTTCATAATTTCCAGCGAATTTCATCGGCACTTGCAAGGCTTTGCGAATAGCTTTAGATTCCAGCTTATCTGTTAATGTGGGTTTATTCTTAGCAACTCAAATCAGAGTATCTTTTACGTCTTTTCAGAGTTTTGTTCCAATGTAAAAACAAATAGGAAAGAATCTGTCCATTTTTCCGACCATTATACCTTTGAAATAGTCGAGCGAACATGTCGTTTGATCAAAAAAAATTGGATGAGGGAATGATTCTTTCTTCGTAGACCAACAAAAATTCAAGCAATTCCAATTATTTCCTGAAATTAAGCAAATGAAATGAATTAAGTTTACAAATAATAAACAAGCAGAAAATATTAAAAATTTTAGACCCAAATATCTTGGGAACCATTAAAAATATACAGATAAACTGTGCAAGTTTTTCATAACTCAACTTTCTCTAACAATCGACACTAGTTTCATTCAAATTGGTTCTAGGTATTACGATTACCTCTCTTGTTAGTTACTTACCAAGAAGATGAATTAAACTGAGATTAAACCAGATAGGTTTTATCAAGTCGTAAGGTAAATTTATGAGACGATTACCATTCAAGTTTAACTCTACTAGAGCTGGGAATTTTTTGAAAATATCTCCATCCAAAGAGACTAGATTGTTGTAACTTAAATCTAGTAGCCAAAGATGATTTAAGCTTTGCGGGAAACTCTGAACACTGATGCTGCTCAAAACATTACGGCTGATGGTTAATACCTTGAGGTAGGGTGTATGAGAAAAGACATTATTATCTAAAGTAAGCAATGCACAGTCAATTATATAAAGTGCAATCAATTTGTGTGAAAATAAACGCTTAGACACCACATCACTGAGTCGCTGGCTTCCAATGTTTGTTAATGCACTTTTCTCAATGTGAATTTGCTCAAATTGATAATCAGCCCATCGCAAGGCTCGAAGATTGTGAACTTGAAAAACAGTCAATGATTGTCGTCGATGCAAGTTGAAGAAATTTTTACTGTTATCCTTGTAAAACTGTGACATGTCCCATTCTTGGATAATCAGATGTTTGAAAGGTAAATCAATCAACTGCATGGTGAGATACTCGTTGGAAACTTTTTTCAAAAACAATGTGTGAATGCTCTGCACTGTTGAAGGTACATTCAATTCGTAATCCTCTTCACACTGGACACTAATTGAGTCTAAAATTATCAAAATAAGATTTACACCAATTAATAAAACGATATTAAAATTAAACTAAATAAACTTACTTGAATTGAAGTTATAAGCTTTACAACCATTACCAAGGAAAGGGCTTTCCCTCTGTTTACCAAAACAGACAATTGCAAAGAGACAAAGAATTTTTCGATCACTCAAATGACCCATGTTTTGTTGATTGTGATGATGGTCAGTAGTTTGTCAGGGATGAATTGGAAAATTGAAATTAAGGTAAAACATATTAAAATAGTATCACAGACTGATCAATAAGCAACGAAGTAAAACAGATGATAACAACGGTTTTTCTGGTTATAACCTGATGAGTGGCAATGCTTACACCACTGTTACCGTCTGATGTTAAATAAGTGTAAACAATAATTTTTGTTGGTTCAAGTAAAGCACATCAAATCAATACTTTATTGTTTTAATTATATTAGTTAAAATATATTACGAGTGCAATCAATTTGTTTCATTCAAGAGAACACACTTTGCTGATATTTTTTGTTGAATAATAAGAATCAATCCAAGAATAACCAATAATGTCTAATCATAAAATAATCAATGATTATTTTGTAGGAGAGAAAATATTAGATGTTTCTTTAAGCTTTAGATTATTGTTAATTCTTTTGATAGTGTTGAGTTTCATGAAGAGTTCATTTACGTTCAGATACCAAGAAATATCAAATGAAGAGTTATTTCAATCCAAATTAAGCTTCTCGGTAGACATTGAAAACGCATTCACAGCTGAAAATAAATGAAAATCTGGAAAATTTTACTTTTATCGTTCCTTAACCTGATTGTTACCAATTAATTTGGTAAATTAGATTAAATTTATCGCCTTTTCTTCAATTGGTTAATAGACTTGGGCAAAGTTGAACTCATAAACACTCAATTCAGTTTCAATATTTAATTGGTTAATAATTAAGACTGATTTCTTCTAAGGTGACAATTTGTTCAACAATAAATAACGTTGGTCTAAAAGTATTAAACATTTAACAGTGATTTCATTTTTTTACTCGTCATAAATATCTAATGCATTCAGTGTTCAGTGTGATTCATCATTACATTTCATTATCATCACTTGACTTTCAAGATTAGTAGTAATTATATCTTACAATAAAGATCAATAAAAGATCATTAATGGTTCAAACATCACTTTGATAGAGTCATGAATAATTATTGAAACCGATTCTCGGATGTCTCAAGTTTACCACAAGTCTAATAAAACTGTGATTAAGATATTTGTTGAAGTATAACACAGAGACATCTTAAAAAATAATAGTTGATAATCAAGTGCAATCAGAAAGGTTACAAATAAAGACAGCAAGCTTCAACGTGTTTGATGTAAGACGAAAACTGGCGATTAAGCTTTCAACAATCAGATATTGATGTGAATTAGAGAAGTGGAATATAAAAATGATTGATTACAGATGAAAATGGTGAAAAATGGCTGAACCGTTGACAAGTCAAGGTTTGTTGTTTCAAACTTGAGTGCAATTCAGCTGATTGTTGAGATCTAACAAGTGAGTAACATTGTAGTTGATGTGTTGAGTTGTGACTTTAAAATAATTCTTGGAATGAGATAACCAGTACTGGAAATTATTTAATGCGCGATAATGATCCCAAGGAAATTTGTGAGAAATCTTCAAGATTACATTCAGCTGAATCGAAAAAAATTGGGTGAGGCTTGAATCCAGTTGACCAAAGCAATTTTTCACAAATCAAAGCATTAGCTGTTAACAAGAAAGATAAATCAAATTTAGTAAAAGGTTCGATTGGGTAAATTGTTTTCTCACCATCAAGATTAACAATATCAATGTCAATCCATTTCCTGAGGAATGGTTGCTCGGGTAATATTTGGAGATGATTGGACTGAAGATTGATTTCAGCGAGATTTGGAAAATAGACTACAAAGTCTTCATGAATATGATCAATCTTGTTGAAACTTAAATCGAGAGACCAAAGGGATACAAGACCAAATTTAGAGAAAAAACTTGGCTTAAAAGATGTCAATGAATTCCTTGTGATTGTTAGCATTTCAAGAGATTTTGTATGAGAGAAGATACCTAAAGGCAAATCCTTGATTAAGCACGAAACAAGTGATAATGTCCTCAATTTAGGAGGTAAATTGGCTGCCGAGATTGAGCCTACCGTTGACAAATCACTGCGCTCAATGTAAATATGGTAAAAGTGCAGTCTATTAGTATACGAACTTAGTTTAACGTCCATTAGAGTAAGTGACTGACGCATTTCACGCACTTCGAATTTTGTTCCACTCTTTTCCCATTCCTGTGAACTATCTAGTTTCAAGTCTTTCAATATGAAATTTTTAGCGGAAAGTTTATTCAATTTATCACTATCGTAATAATGATTTCCATAGATCGCCACGGTATGGAAGTTGGTATCGTTTAGTGTTTCAAATTTAAATCCGGCTGAACATTTGAGACTTGATGAACCTAAAATGGCACGAATTTAATTTTTTAAAACAAGAACGTTACAAGAAGCCAATAAAGACTACTTACCACTTGGGTGATCATAATTTAGACAAGTTTCGGGTCCATCTCGTTTCAAACCGATGAGCTTTTGACCAAAACATAAGATTGAAAACAAACAAACAAAGGGAATCCCTTCAATTGATTTTACTAATTGTGCATCGATAGCGTTTTCAATTATCTCAGTCATTTTGTTGAAATTAAAAATCTTATTATGGTTGAAATAAATTAAGTTGACTAGTATTGAACCTCAGCTTCAGTGAGTAAATTGTAATCCATTGGTTAATGAAAGTCTGACAGAAAGTTACTGAGATATTTTACAAACATGTTTAAGGCAAGTACTGAAGTATTGTAATACACAAATTATTATGAGTGACAAACAAACAGACTTGTGAATAATGGGTGCGTATAATCAATTGAGTTGTTATTTTTTATCTTCGATCACATTTACATGATAATCCACTTTATTTTTGACATAAAAGTTGATCAGGTATTGTCTTTAAATGGAGAAAAATGGAAAAGATAAATAGAACAATCCTCATTTCTATCTTTTAGATAATCATTCAATTTTCATTGTGTATTTAACAAGGCAAAATTAGGAAGTCATGATTAACCTTTCCATTAACGATACCAATTGCATAAAATCTGTAGGAACATTTGTATACTTTCTCTGTAAAGTTACCAACAATATGCGTCAAAATGAGGAACCAATTCCATTGAGATTGAAAAAACCATATTTTCAAATTGAATCAACGGTTTATAAGACAAAATAAATATCTGTCTAAATGTAAAGTTGGATGAAATTTGGAAACAACGAGTTATCCCAAGTTACTTGCTTGATTTAGATCGTAATTGATTAAACTGAAATTTGACTTGTGTTTTGTTTTTGAATCAGCGATTCATGTAACGTTGTGAAATAATAGATTATTTTGTTCAACCCAAATAAATAGTTGACATCTTTGCAGTTGTCTCCTTGATTTGTCGAAGCATTTGGAAAAACATGAGCAAAGTCGATCATTTTTAAATGTACAAACTGGTTATCGCATGGATGAATAAAAAGTAAAGAGCTCGAAAGAAATTTAAGATGATTTATGTTGACCGTTTCGAACCATTCTTGGATGGACTTCAATTTGGATAAATAATTTTGCGATAGCTCTATGCGAATTTCCAATGAGTTAAACTTTGAACCGAGGAACATATCAATAGCTTCAGGAATATTTTCAGGTTTTAGTTGCCGAGTTACAAACTTATCAACAAGTGTACAATTCTGGTCCATTGGGTTGTAAATCTGAAAGAAAAAAAAAGAGTCAGAACAAGTCTTTTGCTAATATAAATTTACTATAATTCAAATTACTCTAAATCCACAGATGCGGAATCCAAGAGCTGCTTGCCATTGACTTTTGGACGTTTCTTCTTCAATTTTTTTAACGTCAGCTCCAGGATCGTAGGTAATCGAACCAATTTTAATATCCATATTCGAAGGATTAGCTAATCCTTCCATGCTATCCTCTATTTGGATAAATTTTATATTTTCAATGGTAACAAGACCATAAAATTTTGGCACAAACGATTGTAATTTAACATCACTAGAATTCCAAACAGTTTGATAAAAGTCATATTCCCTTTTACCTCGTATATCTATGATTGGCTTTAGAAGTCTTTTTGATCGATGGTCTTTCAACATTCCAAACCTTGTTTTACTTTTACCAAATTCATGGCCACTCAATTGGTGATCAGGTTTGGAAATATGGACAGGTAAAGGAATCGGTTCATCGCTGGTTGAATCCATCAATTCCATGTCGATAGAAAAGCTAATACACCTTGGCACTTTGATAGAGGTAGATTGGACTTGGAAAAATGAATTGATTCATTTGACTGGTGGCGAGAGACTCATAAAGAGAATATTTGTTACGGCCATGATGATTCGACAATTATTAGCTAATTATCTACCAATATACAGATAGTAAAAAGGTTATAAGATACCAGAAAGTGAAGAAAGATAAAAAATCAAACTAGGATGAAAATATTTCAATAAAACAGAGCAATGAAGGTAAAAACAATTACTTAATTGACATCAGGAGTAATTATAACGTAATTAATGATATTTAGTGGCAAGATAACAACTGCAAATAATAAAATTAAAAAACAAAGCAAAAGATTAATTAGAAACTAAGACATTTGCGTCAAGTTGCTTCATTCCATCACACTGTTTACAATGTGATCAGCTGTTTTAAATCACCTGACTTGATGTTCATTTGGTTGTTTTTACCAAACTGATTTTAAGAGTTTGATACAAATTCTGTTTTTTAATCAACATGTCAGCCTCAGTTGGAAATTTTGATCAAACGTAAGTTAATTTTCTTGAATTTGTTTGTTGAATAAAAGACATTGAACCTCCTCTATTTTTTTCTTAGGGTTACAATTATGCCTAATGCTATTGTTTGCCGGGAACAAACTACAATCAAAGGAGATGTCGTTATTGGTAGTCGAACGATAATCCAGCCTACAGTTACAATCATAGCCGAAAAGGGTCCAATTATAATTGGTGAATCCAATTTAATCGAGGAATATGTTACCATTATCAATAAAACGGATCAACCTATGGTTATTGGTAATAATAATGTTTTCGAGGTTGGCTCACATTCGGAATCACTTGAAATCCAGGACAATAACGTATTAGAGTATAAATGTCGTATAGGCCCAAAAGTCAAGTTAACTAATGGCTGTGTAATTGGTACTATGTGCGATTTCAATGATGACCTAACGTTACCAGAAAATACAGTTGTGTACGGACCTGATTGTAAAATGAGGAAACAATTGGAAAGACCAGCATTGCAAACATTTCAACTCGATTTCCTTAGTAAGATTATGCCCAATTACCAGCGAATCGAAAAGCCTCGAAAAGGAGTGAAAAATGACGAAAAATGACGTTCTCAGCACAATCAAAATTACCGCGTTTTCAACAGACATGATTGTTTCCATAAAAGAGCAATACATCACATCACTTTGTTTTTTTCAGTTTATTTATCTACAAGTTTTCAATAAAAAATTAAGTAAATGAAATGCTCTGTGAAAAATCATCATCAGAATTGATACTTGCTTGATATATGCTTAAATAACATGAGTAATTATTTGGTTTAGATAAAATGGAAAAAATAGAACTGTCAAGTGATAAATAATTGAGGATCATCGTTTAATACTGGGCCTGTTCGAAAAGAACGTAATATGGTGAGCTTCGTCTGGCGATATCATACGGTGTATCACCAGCATTATTGACAGCCTTGACATCAATGTCGGGATTGAACAAAAGCAGTTCAATCAGTTTTTTGTTCTTAGTTGCTGCGGCAAGATGGAGTGGAGTGACTCCACCAGCCGAACGAGCATTAATATTGGCTCCAGCGGCAATTAAAATGGATGCAGATCGCAAGTTTCCCCATTTACATGCACAATGTAAAGGCGTCCATTCATCCATGGTTCGCGAATCAATATCAGCACCATTTTCAAGCAAAGTTTTAACAACTTCATGGTTGTCACTGTAAGAGGCTTTATGAAGTGGACTGTAACCATCCGAATCTTTAACGCTGATCAAATGAGGGAATTTATCCAACATGAACTTAACATGATGAGGAGTTCCTTTTTTACAAAATCTGAACATTTTTTCCTCCGGTGTTAGTTTCTTTTGTTCATTCACGGATCCCTCTGGTAGACCTGGACTTGGATCTTCTGAGAATTGACTTGAACATTGACTTGAGCAGCTATTTTCGTCCGAAGGAATAGGTGAATCTCTAAGATCATGAGATATTGACATCTTTAAAGTTGACATAAATACCACAATTATGACAAACAGTTGTCAGACTACTATTTTCTTTGTGACAGTAGGTTTGCTAAACAAACTACTGCAACCACAACAAAGTTTATCTATTTTAAAAGCAAAAAACAAAATTTACTTTAATAATAATTAATTGACAAATTCGTTAGCAATGATGAAACTAGTGACGTAATTATTAACTTTTGTAAGTTTTAAATAAAAAAATTATTCAAATTTTAACAAAAGATTGATGGAACGCAACAATCAGCTGAAACAATGAATTTGTGAGTTTCTATAGAAACTGAGATTTATGGATCCAAATTTAAACACACTCAATCATTTCGTATTGTCACTAAAGTGTAAAAAAAGTAAAAAATCTGACTTTCGAGTTAAGATTTGGGACTTTGTGGGTTTGTAGGGACATTAAAACTCATTTTCTGATGTAACTTTAGCAGACCAACCTTAAAATGCGCTTATTTACGAAATAAAATCCTCTGTTTCTGTAAAAAAGATTCAATTCGATTTTCAGTTAAACCTCCGCCATTCTGTAGCCATAAGAGTCAATGAGCTTAAACTTATTATTTGTCGCTAAAAGTTACACATCGGGACATTTCAAATTACATCAGGAAAATGAGTTTATGAAAAAATCTGGTCCCATAATTGAACAAAAAAACGATCGACGAGTTTTCCCTTTAACCTCAATTTTCTCGAAAACTTTCGATCGGAGAAATTTTCTAACAGCACTAAAAGACTCAGTTTTAATGTCCCTACAAACCGACTAAGTCCGAACTCTTGACTCGAAAATCAGATTTTTTAAACAAACTCTTTACTGCAATAAAACCAAATTAAATTCAAATTTTTGACTTTAAAATAGTGAGAAGCAATTCAACTGTAATAAACTAGAAAAATCATTCAAATAAATTACACACAATAATTTAATACATAATCAAATTATGCTTTCATAAATAGATTTTAATTTAGCAACACTTGGCCATTTAGTTGGTAATGATATAACGATAAAAATGGACGGTTCTTGGAAACTTTAAGGAATAATATTTATAAGTTGTGTCGCAGCAATCGATTCCCGGTGAACTTCCAACGGATCACTGATTGTAGGTAAGCGAAGCTGTAAGTCCAAAAAGGTTGGAAATGCGTTTCAATGCATAAAGAGGGGATAAAGATAAAACAAAAGGAGACAAATAAGCAATTAGCTAAATATTAATTCCTCTGTTCTTGTCTATTCCGTAGGCTCTCTATTTACACTACTCATCCTTCGACGAACTTCTGCCACTTCGAAACGACCCATCGGTCGAGGTGAATTAGCTGGCCATATAGAGAATGGAGAGTGGTCTGTTTCTTGAAGTTGCCTTCTTAGAGCAACACTGCTTTTTCGTCTTCCATGAGGCTCCATTTCAACTGGCCTCAAACCACGTCCAAATGAAGATTCACTGTGGATAGTTTCATTATTATTTTCACTCTCCTTGGAAAAAGAAAAATAAATAAAGCGAAATTAGTATTTATTTTCAACAAATTAATCTGAACAACAGAGGGCTGGACTCTACACATTCAGATCGTTTTTTGCTTTTTAGATAATGTGATGATTTGAAATCAGTAATCATCTAATTGTTGCGCAAAGGTGTAAGTTTGTGATTGACAGCAAAAAAATGAGATCAATCAAGAAGCCAAATCATGGTATCGTCAAATGACTTAGGGAAAAATCTGCTAACTCAGCTAATATTGTGTCTAATCTTTGAAGAAGTCAATCTAACGAGGGAAGATTTTTTTCAATTTTTCTTTCGGGCTTATACGAACAAACTTTCCTGTATTGTAGAGGACGAAAAATCATGAGACACGAAATTTTTGCTTTAGTTACGCTGGTGCGCGGTTAATGATATTCAGGCATTTTTAATTAAAGATAAATGATTTAGTAATGTATAGCAGTCACTGAAAAGTACATAAAACAAATTTAACCAGAAATATGAAAACATATCACAATGGAGGTAATGAATCACTTTTCAGTAATTGCAATAGATTACAATGCAATATCCGGACATAAAAATGGTTAAATATCATTAAACGCGCACTAGCGAAACAAAATCAAAAGTAAACGTGTCTCATTATTTTTCGTCCTCTAAAAAATAAACCAGAAAAAATTGAAAATAAATCTTACAAGCAAGGGCACTTCCCTTGTAAGTTAAATTTGAGCATTAAAAATTTATCAAATTTACACACACAATGCATCGAGTTATATTGAGCTTATCCTTCAAATACCTTCAAAACTATCCTAATTAAGTTAATTTGGAAAACTCGAAACACTAAATATCAAATAGACCCACTAGAAACGATTGACAATAAATGCTTACCAATCTGCTGCTACGTCTACTTGGGTTAATGGTGTAACCCCTTTTACTTTTTACGGGCAATCCTAATTCAGAATCCCCCTTGAATGCTGGATTGGTAGCTCCTTGAGATATACTTGACCTTCTTGATCCATGGATTGTGGCCTGAGTCAATCTTCGCAGTAAATTAGGCCCTTGCTATAATCAAGAAGAAAGAGAGATAAAGAGGAGAAAATAAGTAAACCTTGAATGATTAAGAAATAAATTACAAATGTGAAACAAAATGCATGAATACATAATTTTAAATATGATGAATGTCTTGAGAAAGTATACTAATACTTGGATATAAAATTAAAAATTCATAAGTATTAATAGTTCAAGACAATGCAAGTGATTTAAAAGTAATTTCAGGCAAAAGAGAAATTTATGATCGCTTATTGGTACACCAGACTAATTTATATACGATAATTATCAGCGCCACAAAATGGCATTCCAATTAACAGTAATAAACCAATCAACATTGTTATTAGTATGATGATAAATGTATTTAGCATCTCATTTAATTTATGGCTGATTGAACTGATTGATTAACTTACATCGGGTCTACCAATAGCTCCTTTGGTTACACTTTGATAAACATCATCATTTTCAACATCACTGATCAAATCTTTGAGCGTTTGCAATTGAGTTACTCTAGCCTCGGGTTTTGTGCTCAGTAATTGGTTAGGATCGAGACCAGCAATATTCTGTACAAGAAATAAAAATATCGAGATTGATCATGAATCAGGTTAAAAATATACAAGATGAAGTAAACTTACCGCCCATTCCTCGAGAATACGTTTGCCCATAACATCATCTGTTGTAACTGCCATTGATTTACGGTTATAATAACGGGCAACTCCGATATCTTCTTTGAAGAACCTCTTATTCGAATCCATCTTGCCCATTGGAACAACTTGTTTGAGCTAATAGAAAAATTAGGAAATTGAAAACAATTTTTATTACAATCGGTATTGCTGTAATGAAGGTCAATCAAATTGCAATCTTATGATCCCATATGCATGAATAAGTTGGACTAATAGCTATAAGTTTAGGTTTTTAGGCGTCCTATCGTCCTATCCTTGATTGATAAAAAGTAAAAGAATAATTTATTAGGTAATGAAAACAGTTTCATTCGGCTGTGTTTTATTAAACTTGTAATATCAGCAAATCCATTTTCAATGGTTATGTAACCTCTAATAATCAAAACAATGACTAGCGTAACATTATATTGAGTTTACTGCACTAATTACTAGCCCATTTATTGAACAATTAAGATTCTTTTTGAAAACTATAGCGAAAAGTCATCATTTTTACCTAGAAAGTTCTCATAGCAAAAGGTAATAAATCAGTCAACAATCGGGTCAGTTTGCGTTAAAATAATACTGGATTAGTTGCATTTGGATGATTGATTGATCTTTAGAATGACTGTTTCTTTGGTCTCAATTTAGCCACGGAAACAATAAACTTACCCATAACATGATGTAGGCAACGAAAATCATTCCTACTACATTGACATAGGTGAGAAGTAGCGAGACACCACCTAAAGCAATAGTTTCATATCTCATATCCTCATAATAGTGAACGGTGTATTTTTCTTGAGGTCTCCAGGCTGGTTTTAATGTAACTAATTGACCCGTTGAAGTTGAATTGTAAGTAATGAAATCTTGAGCCATTCCTCTCCATTGAAGATGGCATGCATAAGCCCATAATAGACCTGTGTTGATATGAGGAGGTAGAAAAGTTGAGGCCACGGCAACTCCTACTAGTGGACACTGGGCATCGTTTAATAATGTGATTGCAACTGCTCCACCAGCTCCCATTGCTTGCAATAAACCATAAATTAAAGCCCTGTTTTAAAGATTACAATAAGCATAATTAATCTATGGGGAAAATAGTTTTACCAGTGAAAACTTTAACAGACTAAATCATTACCTCCAAGTACCTCTAACCTCCATCTCAGGGGTTGGCCAAACACCTTCTGGTGGTGGATCCCATGCTGTAGACCATGTCATGAATACAAGTCCATAGAAAAATCCAATGACGATACAAATGAGAAGGACGATGATTAAATTGATTGCACCTAACTTAGCTAAGCCACGATCATGAATTATAGAGCCAAAACAGATAGCCATTACAGTAGCCATAATTGGCTCAATCATCATGGCAGCAGCAATGTCCACAGGAGAGTTGTTTAGTAAACCCGCGGCAGCAATAAACCCGGCAAATGTTGTATAAGCCACAAAATCAAAAGTTAATGAAGCACCTGAACGGACTCCTTCAACAACTTGAGCAACTGTCAGTCTGGACGTAACAGATTTAAGGAAATCCTTTTGAGCCTTTTTAAGACGGTTCTCTTCTTTGTTAAGTCCATATCTAATCAAAAGATATGATTTATGGCCCAGGTAATATTTGAATGATCATTATCGTAAAAATGTAAAGGAAAAAGTGAAAGTTTTAATAGGTTAATAAAAAAGCAGGGAAGGAAAATAAATCTTTCCTGATTTAATTGAGAGGGATAATCACTTGAACACATTAAACATGAATTGATAAAAATACAAGATCTAAGATGTCTTTATAGTTACGTAGAATGGGGTCGATAGATGGCAGGAAATAATGCTAATTGTGATTGGTTAATCAAGGAAGACCATATGATGGGATTTCATTCATGAGTTTCTTTCATTCATTAAATTAAATGAACTTGTTATTATAATATCCTAATGTATCTTGGTATTCTCAGATTATACGGTTTAATTGATTAAATAGGTTTACGTTGTTATGCAAATCAGTATCAACTTGTGTCATGCCGGTTTATGCGGGTAATTGGAATCGTCAAGAAACTTTGTTTCTTTTTAAGGTTAATCAACTCACATAGTTAAGTTATTTAAATCAGGATCATTAAGATCATCATCGGTTGACCAAAACAAACCAAAAGGTAAGTAGCCCAACGAAGTCTCTTTTCTAACACCAATACCAATCTCTCTTAACCGATTAATTATATAATCATTTTCATACAGATCAGCTGAGAAATAAATATGGTAACGGTTACCAGTCTTATCAGGAACCCAAGTCGGGCTTTCAATGCCTAGTGACTGTAAAATAGACTCCAATTGCTGTTGTTAAATGTGAAAAAAGGAAGTTATGTTAACAATTAATGTTTAACCAAAAGGCCCATCAAGATGTGTTGATACAACTATGTGTATCAACTACAAACTGTCAATTTACCTTTTCCATTGGTTCTTCGTCAGGGAAACTTTTAATCTGTAACATCCCTGTTAAAATCAAACAAATGGTTGAACAGATCAATAATAGTGCAAAGATTCAAGATTAATTATCGCAGTTTAGATGATTAAAATAATACCCAGACCCGATTGCCTGGGAATTCTTAAGACTCAAGATTAATCAACAAAGACCGGATTAATTCAATAAAGGATCTGATTTACTTATAGCCAATTTTACGAAGTAGCACAAATTGGTGATAAGATTTTTCAAGATGACAATTGATCATGAAGATGGGTTAGCTATAAAAGATGATGGAAATGGAAATGTAAGCTGATCACCTGCTCAATCAAAATCTGCCTTCTAGCTAATAAATGGTTGGTATGAGTTTCGATCAATGCAAATCAAAATTGAAGCTATAATACAACCACGAAAAATGAGCTTAAACAAATTTGATCCAAGAATAGAGTTAAGAATCTTAGCTAATCTTAGGTTTGAAATACTGATTGAATTGTTGTTTATCTCAATACGCGGATAAGTTACGTCAATTATTTACAGCTCATTCCTCGTGTATAAATTGAAACAATGCTTACCTTCATGGCGACTTTTTTTGTGATAATTTTTCTCATTCAGAATCTTTTCATATTCCTTCTTAGGTATGGTAACAATTATCCAAACAGCATCTTTAGCCATAACTGGTCAACCCCAAATGGATTGCACTTTCAAGTAAAAGTCTAAAAGTCAAACAACGATTTATAACAAGAGATGAACTCAAACCAAACGAGGACTAAACAATGGACAAAACGATATCAACCAACAAAATAAAATGAGACGAAAATCTTATGTAAACAAAGTTGACCAGAAAAGGATAACCATCTCAACCATAGATACTTGAAGAGCGATGAACAATTTACAATGAAATTAGATAACAATTGACTGTTGATCGGCTGGAGAATGGTTACTGAATGAAAGACTTCAAAAACTAACGCAACAAAAATGGCAACTGCGAATTGTCATGTTTGATGATTAAAAAAATAATGGTAAACCAGAAAAAAAATTGTATGTTGGTAACAATACGATTATGATAGTAACTATCATTTACTTTTCTCCTCCTTCTTCATCTTCTCACCATCCTCATCAAATTAATTAAGCTTGAAATTAATTTGGTTCATAGTTTTCTTGTTGTAACTTTAATCGTTAATTACATTAACATTGGTTAATTGGTGAATCGAGAGCTTTTTCACGCTCCTCTCTTCAACTCATTTTATTTTATTTCAAAATTTATTAGCCCGTCAATGGCATTGATACCTAAAATATAGTGATTATTTGATTGTTGTTGGTTAAATTAATAACTATTTCAGAGTAAACTAGGCAACACACACAATTGTTAAATTTGTTGTATCATTGGGTTAAACATTATCAGTGCACCAGCAACAATTCAGTGTCGCCATTAAAGTTATGAATGGTGTGTGTGATCTTACAACTGATTGTTATTCAACCAATGAAAAAGGTTTCCCATTGAAATACAAAATTCAGTTCAATCAATGATTGGTGAAAACAATCTCAATCTATAAACGAAAGTTGATTAATTATTCCAAGGTTGATTCTTGTTGATTCAATGTTTAATTAATTCGTTGAGCCTGTCCACAAGAGTCAGACAATTGTCCATCAGTTAAACCCAATCAAATCAAACACTTTCAAATGAAACAATTGATAAGGAAAATTGAAATTGCAAGCATTTCTTTTTTTACCTTTCAACAATTTAGATCCTTTGTCAGCATAAAAATTTAATGACCAACTGGTGATGATAAGTTAATAATCAACAGTTGAATAAGGTAACAATGACAATTGCAATTGTTATCATTCTTGTTTCCATTCAATTATTAAAATTGTACAAAATTTTTGTTGTTAATGAATAATCTGAATCATTTTTGGTATCCGAACATTTTACGTTCATTGAGTATATACAAGAATTGAGTGTAACAAATGATAACAATTAACAAACAACAATATATATGTCGCTCAAGTAACAGTCCAATGTCAATGTTAACATGCATTTGCTTTCATTGACAAAAGCCGTTCAACGGACCAAAAGACATGAATAGCCTTTGGGTGGCATCAGCTGTATGCTTTAATATGTTGACACTCTTACAATTATCATGACATGATAATTAACATTATCATTTTGTGTTGATTCACAGGAAACTGTTGATGATTATTTTAAATTGATTGACATGTGTCTATTTAAATATGATTGTTACACAGGAAATGATTAAGATAACAACACCTTTTTTGCATCTTATCATCACTTTGAAGCTGCTTCAACCCAATATCAACCTAAAATTAACCTCAATTGTACAACCTTAATCAACCTTTTAATGGTTCATCTTAAACTGTGACATTTTCCGAATCACCCTTTAATCAACTTTAATCTCAATGATCGTCGGATTAAATGCAAATGTTATTCAATACAATTTACTTTGTATACGTTTGTCAGATAATATTACAATCTGAATGCAACTGTTCAACTTCATAATGGATTCCAATGTTAGGTTAAACATATCAATTACAACCTCTATCATTTGATTGATTTATGATTTGTTTTATGTCATTAAGAAAGGTTGGATAAACACTGAGAACACATCAATTGATTCATCTTTTGATATTTAAATATTGATTTAGCTAATAGATCAGAATAAACATAATCTCGGTTAAATAAAATAATATCAAGTAACAATATCTTCATTTATCATAATTTAATAATTTCTTCAGTCCAGATGTGTGTAAAAAAATGTATAAAATATAATCTTAATGTTTCTTATGATTGTCCGATAGTTACAAACAACTGAAGTTCATAGAGGTATAATTATTAAAATAATATCTTAATAGTAAAAATAGAAATTCTTTGAGATTTGCTTCGATGGCAGCCTCATGATTAAAAATAAGCGTCAATTATTTAGCTTTAATCAATCTTGTTCACGACTCAATTGGATTCTGTTGGAAAAATTGAATAAAAATTAGTAAAAATCGTTGAAACATTGAACATAAGGATTTAGGAAACATGAAAATGGGACAACACAGAAATTAAATTAATAGTTGAATGAGAGTTTAAATTGTTAGTTTTGTTAATTGTTGAATGGTTATGAGTTATGTTTATCAAGTTAAATTGAGTGAAAAGTCGATTCTTACTTACATTTGAAGTTTTGATGAATCTTGATTTTGGAGGTTTTATTATATAATTTGCTAAATCTTTTTTAATTCACTTGATTTACAGTAATGAACAGTTTTATTTCATCTGAATCTAATGATAATCAAATTAACAAAAATCTATTAATTCTACTTCTAAATATTAAAATGCTCATTTGCACCATTCATTTAGATATTTTGAATACTTGAATTTGAATGGGTAAAACCATTGGTAATATTTAATTCGATAAAATTTGACAAATAAAAAGAGTCATTCTTAATGATCAACATTAAGTATGTTAAAATGCACATCTGAGATCAATCTTTAAATTGATTGATGATTGTTTTTTTTACAGCATTGAAAGACGTGAGTTGTAAACAAATAATAAGACAGTTAATATAAAATACACTAGAATTGATAAATTGTTTTTGTTACCTGGAGCTGCACTTTTCAATTGATTTTTGCACCTTTCGGTAGAGGCATATTCACCAATACAGGATGAATAGGCAATTACATGAGCAATATATGATTGATCTTGAAGTCCATTGAATAAATGTGACATTGGTCCAACACTGTACAAGGCAACATCTTCACCTCCATGAACAGCTGAGGACAAATTGATGGCAGAATAGAATCGATATCGTGGGTTATCTAAAAAATGGATCAAATTAGATTTAAATTAATTTCAGCTCATTGTTTTAGATATAAATATATAATATAATTTATACTAAATTTCATTGTAAATTGGTAAATACCTCTGCTTGTAACTTTAGCCTCATCAGGCCGAGGCTCAACATGACCAGGTCCAGTGGTGTACATAAGGGTTGAAAAGGTTTTATTAACTCCATCCTCTTTGGTATCAGAGACTCCAAAAATGTCATTACCACGCAATGGATAACCATTCATGACAAATCCATGAGAATGGTCAGCGGTTACAATGATTAAGGTTTCATCTAAAGGAAGAAGTTCAGTTGCTTTTTGAATAGCAGCTTCCAAACCTAATACTTCATGAAGTGAAAGTCGAGCATAATTATCATGGTGAGCAATATCCACAAGACCACCTTCAACAAGCAACACAAATCCATTGTCATGTTTGGATAAAACATTGACAGCTGATTCAACCATTTCAGCTAAGCTTGGTGAGCCTTCTGGTGATTTATTACGTTCTAACTCATATGGTAAATGATCACGATTGAAAAGACCAAATAAGTAATCAGTTTTTGCAGTATCAACTGATCTAAGGTCTTTGGTTGAAGTAACAAAGGACCAGTTCGCCGAACGAGCTTCTCTATCAGAAATCCAGCGATCAATAAGGTTAACACCATCGGTTCGACCGCCTGCAGCTCCAGCTGAAGGAGTGGGATCAGATACATTTGAACCAGCAAAGTGTTTCCATCCTCCTCCCATGATTACATTCAGCTTGTTACCTGGAGCATCTTCAACCAATTGACGAGCAATATCTTTACAACTGGCTCCAAACTTAGCAACATCAGTGTCACTTTCCCAGTCACGATTAGAAACATGAGCATAGCCAGCCGCTGGAGTGGCGTGTGTGATTCGAGTTGTAGTTACAATTCCAGTTCCTTTACCTGCAGCTTGTGCCCAAGTGAAAATAGATGGAACTGCGTTGGCTGCAATAACAGAGCAATCTTTTTCGCTTTTGAATATTCTTCCGGATACACCAAGAGTTGCATAATTAGCCTTGATCCCACAGGTGAATGCTGTTGCTGTACCAGCTGAATCGGGTGTTTGTCTGTCAAGGTTGAAAGTCTGAAGAGAAAAATAATTTGGGTGTTAGTTTGAATCATTTCATGTTAACAAGAAGCTCACATGCTTTCAAGCTCACATGGTTTTGCTTGTACGATTTTGGATTGAAGACAAAAATAACGAGACACGTGTTTTTACGTTTTTTCACTATTGTGTGGTTAATGATAGTAAAGTATTTTAGTCAATGAAAAAGGCATAAAACAAATTTAACCAGAAAGATGAAAAAAATCACAATGGAAGTAGTGAATCACTTTTCAGTAACTGCAATGGATTACAATGCTATATCCTCACTTGTTAGACCTGCCTAAACATCATTTAAACGTACATTAGCGAAACAAAAGCTAATGTGTCTCATTTTTTTGTCTTCTCAATTAAAGCTCAAATAATCGTAGAAGGGGTACTTCCCTTGTCAAAAGGGGGTAAGCTTAAGGGTAATCTTAAGCAGCAAATTTTCTTGAATCCCTTCAACTCAGAGAAAGTCATTTGAATCTTTTGTATTGTAGTTTTCGAACCTCAATTTGATCATTTTTTGATAGCCTAAGCTATAAGTTTTTTACTTTTCCTTCAAAATCCTGGCCAGTAAATAGCCATAGCAACGATAACGATTTTTTGAGCCTTATTAACATTCTGGACTGAAAATGTATGATTTAACCTAAGGATCTAAATATTTTCCTCAAATAATCAATAATTGAATTATCCTAACATCTAAATTTGAACTATCGAAAAGATTAACAAACCTTTTCAAGTAAGAAAACATTGTTTCTCAACTTCATTGTTCCCTTTTCATAACAATCAGAAACTTAAAACTGTATTAGCCTTGATAAAAAGTTCAAATAGCCTATGAACATTAAATAATGGAATTTCGTTACTAAAACTAATGTCTGGTTTCGAAATGACTTTTTTGAAGTATAAATGATGAATTTCTTCGAAGAATTCTAACTATTTTGACCATTACTGAGCCTTTACTCGACATTCGACTTTTATACCTTGATTAAAGCTGATTGAGGGAATTCTTCGAAAAATAATCTATTAGATCCACCAGGTAATCCATTTAATTGTTCTTTCAAAACTCGTGCAGCAGAAAGTGTTGAAATTCCCATTCCATCACCAATGAATAGAATAACATTTTTGGCATTTTTGTTTAATTTCTTGATATTCATGGTTGCGTCTAAAGATTCTTGAGCTTTTTTATACCAATGTGCTTCTGTGGTTTCAATTTCTGGAATCTGGAACAAAAGAAAACAGATAAATAAATATGTTGTTTAGATGGACAAATATAGAGTACTCATAGTTCAAACTCAGACAAAGTTCGAAGTGATCAAGAATTCAAGATATTTTCCATCAAACACAAATCGAGATTGAAAATCTTAATATCTCAATGAATTATGTCGTAATGACTACGTCCCAATTAAAAAATCACAGATTAAGTGTTTTTAACTGGTTCACATTGATTGAGATTTAAAATTTCAATTCAAATCTTTATTTTGATGGATAACACCTTCAATTATGTGTTTATTCAATTAATTTAAGATGAGGGGGTCCAACAGATAGATATCAATGACATGATTGATAAGGCCCAAGTTATGTAAGTGTTGCTTACATTAACTCAAAATGATGTTATCAGAATGCTTAAATGCTCAAAAACAATAGCTTCTGAGCATAAGGTTAAGATGATATCGTAAGTAATATGAACAACTCTATCAAAAAAGTGTCAGATTTCAATGTTGCAATAAAAAACAATTGAAACAATATGACAATTGAAATTTTCTGGTTGCTTGTTAGTCAATGATATGACTGACAGGCAAACGATGAAGAAGAAGATTGTAATTAACATAGTAACAAAGTCGAAACTATTACTGGTGGGCGAGATAACATGATGACAATTGAAATTATTAAATTTTATCTTGATCAAAGTGCCATAAGAGCGTAGCTCATGAAACAAGAGCTATGAAACTATCAGATATTAGGTGCTGAGAGATTAATCTAATGTAATGCATTATTGCAAAATAAATTAAACAACATTGAGGTTAAAGCATCAGAGAAAATCAGAGAATAGAAAATTGTATTTCTGATAAAATCATAATTGAGATAATAATTTAACAAGATACCAGATAACCAGATAATTTCACGCTATTACTGGTTTCATTCGATAAAGGAATTGTTGTTTTCGAGGCTTACAATATTGCAATTAAATCCGCTTATGAACAAAAACAGAACATAATTTTTTAACCTTTGAAACTAACAAATAAATAATATCCAATGTCTATTCGATAAACTTTCTAGATATTATTGAAATATTCAGAATATTTCTAATGTTTTATTCATTCCTCTGGTAAAACATAAATCACTAATTAGGTACATCACATATATCAAGAGACTTATCTAAGAAGATTTCCATGCTTGTGATTACCATGTTAAACTGGTTTAACTGAAAGTAATTACACAGACACAATAATTTGCCCAACAATTTGATTATCCAGCAATTTTCTTAGCCATAAATGCAATTAACATTGACTAAGGGTTTACCAAAGCAAGGCAAATTCCTTCACACACACAAACTATTAACATGAGCAATTAATGAATGTAAATTGTCTTCGAATATCTAGACTTAGCAAAACGTAACTTATTACGGTTCCCTAACAATTAAAATGGGTATAACAATGAATGACTGTAGCCTTAATTGGAGGTCTTGAATGAAAATATTGAACTTGATGCTAGTCGATTAAAAAGATATTATCAGCTGTTATTACAATTATTATTATTAATTTTCCAATGAAGATACAAAGGTTTGATGTACTTACGTTAGGTAACTGAGGAGAGACGTCTCTTTTAGCTCTTGAATGGCTTTCAACTGAGTAAACTGAGGAATGGTGGGATTTCATGGCAACTATTTCAGAGGCATGATGGACATTATTTCTAGGCAAATCATTGTAACTCAGCGTATTCAACAATTGATCTGATTGTATTGAATCCTCGAGACATTTTACTGATACATTGAAAGATGGGTCCACCTTTAGAGCTTTAAAGATTTGCCAAAAAATGACTTTGCCCAGCGACTCTTGGAAACCTTTATCCAAATGATCAGCTTTATTGTCCACTGTTTGTTTACCATTGATTACCTCGTAGCCATGATTATGAAAATCTATCTTTTCAGCATAAATGTTTACTAAGTTGTCTGATTCAGATGATTTCTTGACACCCAAGTCAATTGTAATGTTAACATAATCCATCTCTAGTGTACCTTCCCCACTAACTGGAAACATGTGGGCAACGGGTCCATTAATATGGTAATTTGATTCAACTTTTATTCCTTCGATGCTCATAGTTGCTTCATATTTATCTATAATTGAAATCAAGGGAATAACGATTAAAAACAAATTAATTTAGTCGTGATTTTAATTAGATAAAAAGCAAAAAAACAATTAAGATAAAGATAATTAAATCACCCGTCAAATCTAATTTGGAAATTTTTGTTTGTCTGGGAATTTGTTTTGTTCAATCGAGTTGGGCAAAAAATCTACATTTTGTTGATTAAATTGAAATTGAAATAATGAAAAAATAGTAATTTGACCTTAAAATAGCCAGAAATTAGACTAAAAAAGTAAAAATCAAAACAGATTCAACACTAGGACTAAACAAGACGTAAATAACTTTGTTGGTGCACAAATCATGACCAGACAAACCGCAAAAATAATCAGAGGTCAAGCAAGAAAAAAAATGGCAGACTAACCTTTGTTGACCCTTTTGAATGGGGTTATCAGATATTTGTTGAGACCCGTGATTCTGGTGTTGTCGAGTACAACTTTAAAGAGATCTCGATCACACGATAAAAGAGGTGACAATTGTATTTGAGAAGATAATGTGACTTGTTCATGTATACTTAAACATTTGTCAAAAACATTGGTCAAATCAATGGAGTTACTTGATGAAGATGATAATGAAGTTAAAGTGGTTAGCGGTGTTCCATGGGCCAAGCCAAAAGGAGCCACAATTGAGAGCAGCAACCAAATAATTGGATGAAACATCTTAAACTTTCACTGGAAATGATCACAAAAGTATGAACAATTCATTATAAAGCAGAAGAGAAATCCCAAAAAATGAAGATAAAAAGTTTGCTACAAACTACCACCCGAGGTCGCTACACTCAATTCTTTGTTTGCTTTTTAACCAATTTTTTCCTTTCTTTTCTCCTTTTCGAAATGAATCTTTCTTCAGATTTTATCAGACTGAAAATAAAACCTCTTTACCCTTTCAGGAAAACTTGAAACTGGTTAACTCCTTGTGATGGAAAACTTTAAGCAATTACACTTTTATTGTGGTTTTAATCAATTATCTTTACCACAGCCAAAAATCACATTCAATGAAACCAAATCTTGCCAGCTTTGTCTCAATGTCTTATCACGTTCATTGCCTGGATAATGATTGATTTCAATGTATATTGTTTTGTGTTCACCCTTACATTTGAATCTAAACCTTTCAATCATTATGGTTAAATTATAATGATAATTATACTGTAAATCAGAAACAATCGAATTGGGAATAAACTAAATCGGTTAAAGCAGATTGTCCTCAACATCTGTAGCTGATTGTTTAACTGAACATTAAGATCCATTAACACTTCATTCAATGTAATCAACTTCAACTGTTTTCATATCGCATATAATTTAATTTATTAAGGGTTAACAACTATATAAAAAATGGTTGATATTAAGAAACATTTCAATCATGATAATGTAATATACAGCCATGAATTGCTGCTGTTTTTGCTTTCATTCAATCTTCAACTTTTTTTGAGTAATCACAATTTCACTGGTGATTTTCATCTTCATTTAATTTTCTCACTCATCAGCTTCCTGATAATTAATTTGAGTTTTTCCATGTAATTAAAATTATTCACTCATTTGAAATTAGCTTGATTGAAAATCAAATGAACAAAAAAACCTAAATTAAATCTGGTTTAATTTGGTTGGACCCAAGTCTGGTTGAATGAGCTGGCGAAATGAAATAAATTGTAAAACCAGGAAAAACAAATGTCTTTGATCCAATTTGATTGAAGACTCGATGTTAAAATTGATGTTAATCAATTGGTCATGCTGTTAACTTTCTGGTAAATCATAATTGTCAAAGATTGACTAGAGTTTAACAATTTGCCGAGTCATAGACAAAAGCTATTCTGTCTCTCCTGAACTATTCAATCACAAATGATTAAATCAATTTAGTTTATTATATTTCATCTCTAAATGAATAAGACGATTTTGGTTGGAATCAATCAACAGCTGAAAGCTCGAACCCGAATCATTTTTTCGTCTATTTTCATCAGTTGCCCGAATGTCAATTGTCAACAGTTTGTGGGATCATTACTTGTATTTCAGTGATTGATTAACTGCTAATGAAATTTGATTTAACTCGATTTTGAAAGGTAGAAAAAGGTTAATTTTAAAATTAACGGTTTGTGATGAAAAATTAGTAAACATTAATAGAAAAGTTCACACAAATTGTTGTCTATTTTAATGAAATTTATCAAGCTTGCATGAATGTTTTACTTGGACTTTCCCAATCAAACAAATGGTTGATCTAATTTTGTAAGTTTAATTTGGTAAAGCATTATTGATAACATTTTTTACACAAAGAATCAATAATGTTTAATGGTTAGTGAATTTCAAGTGTAATCCATTAATTTGTCAATCATTTATCCCTGAAAAAAAAGAACAAGATTTATGGATTTGCCTTTTATTTTCGAGAATCATGATGATAACAATGAATTAAATTTTAATTGCATTTGAATTACACTTGGGGAGTCTAGAGAAATATCATCGAGAGATGAATGAAGGAAACAAAAATCATGATTGACGGGTATAATGATATAGTTATCTATACAACATTAGGCACAGAGTCACAAATATATAAATTATATTTTTTTGCGATTAATTTTGTAGAGCCATCATTAATCATGGCTCAAATTTTTAAATTTTTTCCACTTTTTTGTTCATTTTGCAATGATGGAGGTAAAGTTAATTAAACACTACCTTTTTTTATACAATAACTCTAGCTTTTTGATACACTTGTGCAGGTATTTAAACTGTTGAGAGAGTTGCTTTTGATTTACAGATCGGAAAAGGTAGGAACCTCAGTTGAATCTTTCCTCCATCCTTTGGCTGCATTGGAAACATCTTCTGATTGTAACATTGCCATGTTCCAGTTCGCCATTAAAGTTAATCCATCTTGAGTATTGTGTTCTCGTGAGTATCTCATGCAAATTTTGCTACCTTGAACTGCAACTGGGCTTTTAGTGGATATTAGTGTGGCTGTTTCGATGGCTGCTTTTTTGGTTTGCTCACCATCAGCAAATAGTTTACTAACCATGCCCATCTGGAAAGAGAAAGAATACAAATTTAGTTGAAATGCTTCTTGGAATGAGAATAAGTTACAAAGAAAACATCTTCAGATTGTTTAACATGAACATAAACGAGATTGTCAAACACACAGACATAAGTACATAGATTTAAGATTGTTTAAGATCTGTTAAGTTTTAAAAATTGGTTGATTCTTTAAATTGGACATGAAAACAATTTACAATGTACTTGTTAACCTTGATTGTTTTACACTACCCTTGAACTGTAATTTGACTCGCTAATAGGGCTGAAGATATTTTTATCTGCTGACGTAAAACAACAAAAGATATTTCACATTTGATTTGACGTGTAGATTGGAGAAATAACAGTCTTCACAATAATCATCTACTGACCTCTTTGGCTTCTGAGGCTGGAACTTTTCTTGCCGTGTAAATCATCTCACGAATATAGCTATCGTTTCCTGATATCCTGGGTATTCTTTGCAAGCCTCCCATGTCTGGTGCTCTTCCTGTGTCTATCTCTTTCACATGAAAATAGGCATCTTCCGATGCATAACGGATATCAGCTGCAGATACCAAACCAAGAGCTGAACCAACACAGGGTCCATGGATTGCTGCTATAATTGGCTTTGAACATTGCTCCAAAACAGTAAATGAATCTTGAAACAATAGAATCATTGATCTGATATATTTAGCTTTACGAGCAACATCAGACATCCCTGCAGTCCTAGAGCTGGTACCCCTTATTTGAGAAACCATTTCAATCATGTCGTTATAGTCCAGGCCAACCGAGAACTGTTTACCAGTTCCACTCAATACAACAGCACGACAGTGTTGATCATCGTTAATACGGCAAAACAATTCGTACAATTCACGAAACATTTCCTTATTGAGGGCATTCTTAGCATCACAACGATTCAACTCGACATGCAGTACATGTTCACATGGTGACGAAACTTGAAGTGTATCATAATCATAATTAGATACATGAATTGATTTTGATGATAAATTACGGCTTGAGATTAATTGGCTTGAGATTAATTGTTTTCCAAAATTTGCTGATTGACGAGTAAGCAATGCTGTAAGAAACAAACAAAAATAAAAGAACATTGACACTTCAGAGATGCTTAAACAGCAAACTAATTCAAACAGATTTGTAACTTAAAACTAAATCAAATCAAAGTCAGTTCATAAAATAGTTTATTAAATAAAACGCATTAAGATTGATTAATTTTTGGAGGGATTTAAAAACAAATGTAAAATCAACCGTTAATACTAGCTATGCCATCTAGCGATTTTTTCAGTAGCTAATATGCTGCGAAAATTATGCTCGCATCAAAAAGTTGTTTTCACCCAAACAGATAATAACCAAACAATCAATCAATCATTTAATTTTTCCAATTACTCTTTTGTGATTCACCAGGAAAGACTGAAAAACAACAAGACTTTATCAATGTTAGTCATGTGTTAACCAGGTTTTATTGTGAAAAAATTTATCAAATCAGATTGATCTCAAGGTCGGGGAAACCTCTTTTTCAATAACAAACGATTCAACATAATTTTATTTCGCCTCAAATTAACAGTAAACAGACTCTTTCATCATCACCATTGACATCATCACAATCAGTTGATATCACTTCATCATCTTAGTTCTACCCAAACTTGTTTACTCATTAACAATTTCCAATTTTTTCCTGTTTGTTTTTGCAGCCTGTTTTACATGTAAACATTGCTATTGAATTGCATGGGAACAGAGATTGAAACAAGAGTTCATAAAGCTCAAGATAATTAGCGGATGGTAATAGTGATCAAAGATATGTATTGAACATTTTCTCAAGGCTCAAAGACTGTAATTAAGAAATAAAGAAATACAACTGTTTCTTAACAAAAACAATAAGAGGATCAATCATAGTTAACAATGTTAAGATCAAAAACATAGTCACCAACCAAGGTTTAGATTGGAGGAAAACTGTTTATGTATCGCACAATCAATCATTGAAGTGCTTCTCTTAATGATGAGAAATTGATGAAACGCAAAGTGAGCTCTTAATGTTGATAAAACAATTATCTGAATTCTTGGCCAATTAAAGACAATGTATACAAGATTCTATTTTTGTAAATAACTGATCAATAGAGAATAGCAACATTACCTGATATTTCAATACTTCAATGAAGTAAACAAAGCTACAAATTAAATATAAATTAACAATAAACTTACCGAATGTCTTGAAAAATGTCATTTTCCCGAGATTTGTCAGTCCACCGACCCAATTACGGTTTATGTAAATTTAGTTAAATTGAAAAGCAACACGAATTGAAAGTTAAATTAATAAATCGGAGTCAAACTTTAATTATCACAACTAGGTTATCGTAATACTTTGATAAATTGAAAGATGGACACAGTAAGGAAATATATTGATTCTCATTCAAACACTAAGAATATTTATGTTAATAAAAGGCAACTTCGATATAATCTGATTCACGAAACACTTGGACGATAATTGTTATAATGGAAATGATTGAGGCGGGGTGATTGGGTATCACCCACTTTAAAATTCACCCTCCCTTCCTCTCTTAGTCAATCAATATCAACATCTTCATCTCTCTGTTGCTTTACAATTTGAGTTTCTTTCCTCAGCTACAATAACAATCAACATCAATGAAAACGAAATGATAATTTAAATCAGATAAAAGGAATTTTCTGTATAGTCAAGCGTCCTTGTCGGTTTGTTTTCGTGTTTTCAATTTGTTTTCATTCCTAATTAATGTGTATATTCAGCTTTTTGTGTTCAGATGATTCAGAAAAACCTCCTTCATCTATGACATCAAAAACAATTGATGACAATTAGCTGGCTGTTTCAACAGATATTACGAAAAATCTGATTGTTTTAGTAGAATCATTGGAGAATCCCTTTGGTGGAAAAGGTGATTAGATATTGTTCCAAACGGCAGGATCACAGGACGTCATATTGATAACTCGATAGATGCATATAGTCAACTGAACCTACACAAAATTAAGATAATCATCTATTGAAATTAATGATTTTTATCTCTCTATCTCTATGGATCTTTTGCTTGAATTTCTTGGTTTCCCTTAAAGAGAAAGAAATCAGAGAAAAAGAAAAGTCTACATCTCCTTTTTTACAACTTGACTGTATCTTGATTGTTCAACAGGTCTCCTACATCCAACTACGAAATTATGAACCTCTAGTGATTGAATGATGATAAAATGTGATATGAATCGGATGAAATGATTACAATGCTTTGATTTTTCTTGATTGCTGATTATTGTTGATTATCGATGTTGATGTTTGTCTTTGGTATTGCCTTGTTTATTAGAACGATATTTTTGAACATCTCATTCTCTTTAATTATAAAGATTGGTGATATTTTTTCTCTTAAAGGTAAGTTGGCCAAAAATTATCCTTTTGATTCTATTGTTATTTTTGGTTCAAAATAAATGCATGAAGCCTCTAGACAAATGCTGGAAATTGATACAATTTACAATTTGTAGTTTTCTAGGCGCTTGGTTCTCCATTTGAGACATTAAGTTTAGCTGGGGAATTTGATTCCGAATTTGGTTTTTGATGAACAGGACAAGGCGTTTTAGTTTCCAATGAATTTGATAGTGGACAAACAAGATCATCTGATTGGAATTCCGGCTTGCTCCGTCGTTTCAACAAATTAAAGCGACTTGATTTAATCTGTTAAAATAAAGGAAAGTAAAAACCATAATTTTAAAATCATTGAACTTTCGATTCGAGACAACGTGAATTTGATAAAATTTGATTAAAACTTACAGTTATTTTGCTTGATGCAATGGAAGAAGGATTTTTAACAAGATAATCTCTTTTAATTTGCACAAGTTCAGGTCCTAATAGATCATTGAAACTTGAATAAATGTGACGTCTTAATAATGATTTAGAGCTTGGAATGCCTAAAAGGGAAGCCAATAAATCTGCATCAAATGCTGGTTCATGAACCATGAGAGCTCCGTGAACACCACTTCCTCTTAAACTTGAAGTATACTCAGAGAGATCAACGCACCTAAGCCATTCCATGACACGATGAGAAGTCCATAAAGCAATAGTTGAAGGATTTTTACTATCACTGGCTAATTTATCTGAAACTGCTCTTCTTTCTAAACAATTCGGGTCAAATTTTTGCTCTCGTAAAACTTGTATTCCTCGTCTAATACTACAATAATGCAATTTAGCTGTTATATTCAGGTTAATTAAATCCTGCATTGTTAATCGATGAAGAACAGCACCATCTACTCGAGCGTTAAGGAAATTTTCTTTGAATTGTGGTAAGCCGATATCATCTAACCAGCGAGCTACCCATAAATAATCCAATCGATGAGCTGCCTGGGTCAATGGATCACAATCATTATTTGCAAATGCTAAAGCCAATTTCAGCTTTTTACGATGAAGCTTGTTCTTCATTCCAAGATACTTTTCAATTTCATTCTCTGTCGCGTTGAATAATTGTTCACCAGTCCGGAATATTTGTTTACATCGCTCACTATACATCCCAAGACCAATAGAGTTAAACCATTGAGCGAGAAGAGCATTATCAAATCGCGGAAATGGAATGTCAATCCTAAAAAAATTACAGAAACAAAAAATTCAGACTCTTTTCATAAAGCATATTAACATCAGATATCAGATGTCTACTCATGATGAGAATGTGAAATCTTACTCTAATCTACGCCTTTCTCCTGATATAAGCCTAGGTCCAGCTGTTGATCGAATACCACCCCTTACAAAATGATTAGACTCTAAATTAGCTGCCGGTGATTCAGTTTTCTTTATCCTGAAAGGAAGAAAGAGAAGGGATTAGTGACACAATAACAAAATATTTATGTTCTTGGACCTACATAGAAAGGAACTTTTTAAATCCTTTGGAGTTATCTTTTGCCCTGAATGATGACTTCAATGGATTTGGATGAAGAGAGGGTGCCGGAGGTACTCGCTGGTTCACTGAGGTCTTAAATAAATCTGGATTGGATCGTCCACCATTTGGAATAATTTGATCTTCAGCTGCTACATTGTGAGGAAGAAAAAAAACAAAATATAAGAATATATCATTGAATAAATTGAAGTAAAGTACAATTAAAGCAATCTACAAATAATATTAAGACAAACTACCGCAAAACCAGTCAAATTAAAAGAAAGAATTATTTTTCTCCATACCCAAAGATGAGTGAATTGAGTTAAATTAGTAGACAAAAAGAGTAAAAACAAGTCCAAAAGAGGAAGACCAAGTGAGTTTTGTCGGAAGAAAAGTATCATGAGCATGCATTGGAATTACAGATGTGAAGAATAAGAAGTGTAGGAGAGGAACGGGAAAGGAGGAAAAATAAAAAGACAACACAGGGAAATCGGGTTAAAAGTTAAATTAAGATTAAATGGAATAGATAATGATGATAGATTTCACGGTGATGATTACAGGCGTCCAAATATAATCTATCATCATTGTAGTTTTTGGTGACTGGTTCGGGCTTACTTGTAAATCGTTTGGTCCGTTTTAAGGAGAAAAAATCTTTACCAAATGAGACAATATTATTAAATCTGGTTCCCGCTGAGGTTGTTGTTGGCTTGGTTATCCCAATTGAAGTTGAACCAGATGCTTGAGCAATAATGGGTTTACCTTGTCTTCCAACACTTGTGGACCCGATATCTCCTGATATCGGTGTTTTAGAAGATTCCATTTAAGTTGATAATGGTTATTTAATGTTTAATAACTAAACAGATTATTAAATTGATAAAAAAATATTTAAAAAGGTATTAAAAATAATTAAACTTGAGTTTAAGTTGAGTTGTCATTTTGAGACTTATCTTTGCCAATCACTGCATTGTTTATGCTTTTTCCACATTTGTTTGCTTTCTCTTCCAAGGCTACAGCAAGCCAAAAAGGCATAAAAAGCATAAAGAGCATAATCTTTTCCAATTCGAAGGGAAAATTGTAAACAAATTAGTCAATCAATTTATTAACTGTTTTCTTTATCCATTTAAACTTTAATTAACCCATTTTAAGTCATTTAAAATACTTGTTAATCACTTGAAGTCAATGTTTCCACTAAAAGTGTGAATTAATTTGTTTCCAGCCAAATTTAAAATTTATTTCCAATGTACCTTTCCATCATTACCTTCTAATTTTTTCCTTCATCTGGTTTAATCTGTAATTATTTCATACATTTCTATAACAACTGTTTTTATACCATTGGAAGATATTTATTCAGGTAATTGTGTTATCAACTCTACGACAGTGATTTCTATAACCTTGAATCAGTGTTAACCCATTACAGTGAATGAATGGCGAACATTCTTCAAGCTTAAATCCTCTATTGATTGTGAAGAGTTTTTCTGGTTTTGCTTTCCCAAAATAGCTGTAACCAATTTTAATTGAAATACCAGGTTTACGATAATATATATATTCCAAGACAGAGAGGAAAATGGTTACTGCTTTCTCATGGTGCATTGGAAGGTGAAAGAACGATGTCTCAATGTAACGATGAGAATTATGGAACTCAAGCTATCTGTTAGCATGATTTCGAAATTAACCATGTGATTCAAGTTTAATGAATTGTCCTGCTCAAGACGAAAGTCTAATGCTAAATATAAGACTCTCATTTGGTGAAACTGATGTGATACCCAAAATCTTAAGAGAAAGCAGTCAACCCATTTTCATCAAGAACGAGCTCAGATTTAACCCATTGATATTTGAAATTTTAATTGAAAATTATATATTTTGCTTCAATTAAATTCACAAAATTCTTAGGCCATGAGCTCTTACTCTTGATAGAAAATTTCTTAGCTTTGACTTGAAAAAAATTAAATAAAGACCCAAAAAAGAAAGGTTTAACAAAGAAAAATGTTGATTGAGAAACTGGCAGCGTCTTTGGTGAATGTGTGATAGTGTAGCTAATGAACCGTCCCTAAAATCCCCTTCATTCATTGGTTAAAACTGGATTGGTTTAGTTTACTCTAAAACCGTTTTCCTGTGTTCTTTTTGGTTTGTTTTGTTCCCTCTCTTTTTATCATCTCTTGTTATGTATTATTCTTAAATATTGGCGCTTCAATTATATCCTAACCAACCCCTAATTGTCTCAAACGTAATAGAGCCATTAATTATTCTTCATATTTTTTAAATCGACGGTACCCTTTTCAGAGACAATATGAGAGTCGTGGGATTGATCAGTGGTGGTAAAGACTCTTGCTACAATCTAATGCAATGTGTTAAAAATGGTCACACATTGGTTGGCCTTCTTAATTTACATCCTCCTGCTAATCAACCAGGTAATTGAGACTTTTCCTCTACTCTTTTATTGAAATGCCTTAGTCTGCTTTGCTGTCTCCTAAAGCTGTATCTTCTGATATCCATTGATAACCATGATTATTTCTGTTTTTCTGATTTATTGTTTTCTTCTGTTTACTTTTTCATTTTCTCCCTTCTCCCTTCTATTTACTCTGTGCAGCCGGGCCTGCTGATGAATTGGATTCCTACATGTACCAAACCGTCGGTCATCAAGCAATAGAGTTTTATTCACAGGCCATTGATCTGCCTTTGTTTCGACATCCTATCCTAGGTAAACCAATAAACCGAGGTCCTGATTACCCTGTTGAGGAAAGTGGCGATGAAGTTGAAGACTTGTTCATTGCTCTGAGTAATCTTAAACGTAAACTTGAATTTGATGCAATCTCGGTTGGTGCCATTCTCTCCACCTATCAAAAAGTACGAGCTGAAAATGTTTGTAGAAGACTGGACATTGATCTTCTCTGTTACCTTTGGGGTCGAAGTCAGAAGGAATTATTACAAGAGATGATCCAAGAAGGGATCCATGCTGTTATTATTAAGACTGCATCCATGGGTTTGGAGCCATATAAGCATCTCGGTTTAACACTGCAGCAAATGTATCCAGTTCTGGTCAACCTTAATTCAAAATATGGAATGAACATTTGTGGTGAAGGTGGTGAATACGAGACATTAACCCTAGACTGTCCTTTGTTCAAAAGTCGCCTCGTTATTGAGGAAAGTCAAATTGTCATACATTCCGATGATGCTTTCGCTCCTGTCGGTTACTTAAAGCCAGTCCGTATCTCTTTGGAAGCTAAAAGCAACTGATTTTAATCTTCTCATCTTATCTTTTTATACTCAACTTTTGTTAAAACAAAAGAAATACGTTGTAAACGTGAAAAAGTCGAATATTCAATCATTAACATCAAACCACTTTTTTTACCCAGCATTTGACTTCAATCCAATTCATTCAACTCGGGTGTATCTCACAAATACGTGACATGTGGTAATTCTTTGGGCTCACCATTGCGAGACAGCATCTTTTATCGTGATCTTCAGATCTTAGATTGAGTATTGGCCATCTTAAAATGATATAAAAAGATATGGTAATTTTGGACAAATTGACTCTCAAAAAAGATACAAAGATGTAAAACTCATCGATAAGAAGTGAAACTTGATCCATAAATTCAAAGTGTTTCAAAATGTTTTCAGTCATTTTGTTTCCTCTCAGGAAAATACGATTCATAAAAGCTCATTTCAGTTGAAATTGCATTCCTGCAAAATCTTGGATAGTAATTTTACAATTTACAGGAATGGAAAATATGAGGAAAAGAGGAAAAGCTTTTTGGTCAATTGTCTACATCAACATCACCTCATTATTACCATTGTTACTATTTTAATGCTTTACTCAACTGATTGACTATGAATTTAGTTGTATTCACTACTCCAACGGCAATTAACAAGCTCGAAATATGAAAAAAAGTAATGATCCAGGGAGTCATGTATATCTTCTGGAAAAGGAAAAAGAAGGTTTATTAATTATATTTACTGGTACATAAGATGAGGAGAGACACAAAAAATGATGAAATGATGACAATTTGTTTTAATCATCATGGTTATGAAAAAAAGAGAAAAAAGAAAGACAAGTTTCCTCTTGTTAATTGACTTTTTCAGATCTCTGTTGATGATGATGATGTTTCAATGTGTGTTCTTTGGGTGGGTTGACATGATGATGGTGATTATTAATTATTAGGAAAGTGAGAAAATCATAATGGTTGAAGATGAATTAGTTAATCGGTATTAAATACCATGGAAGACTTAATTTTTTTCAAAGTTAGCAAATTGTCGGTGGTTGGTCACAAAAAAAGAAACAAAATTTTTCCGAATTGGTGAAATGAATTGTAGTAAAAAGGTTTGAAGTTGATGGTCAAGAAAGACGCTGATTAGATTGTTGAAGGTGCATGTTATAATTTAAGATAAATTGTCTATTAATCTAGAATCTATAAATTATCAAATTTGATTTCAATTGAAACGATATGTTGATTTTGAGCAAGTATTACATTTGATCATCTGATTGCTTCTGTCTTGATCTTGTCGCTGATTATCACCACAATCAACACCATTAACATTAATCCAATATGTGAGTGTAATCCATTTAATGGTAAATAATTGATTAATCTAATGTAGAGATTAACTGTTGAACATTCATCAAAATAACAAAGAATCTAGTTGATTCAAAATTTCACCAGCAAACAGTTACTTCTCACAATTAATATAATCAACCAAATGTCATCTCTTTACGTAAATTATTTCAATCCTTGTTTATTATATTAGAAGAGGATTAAACGAGAATCAGAAATGAATAAACATTAATGATTTCCATGTTTTTCAATGTTACCCATGTGAGCTTGTAAAGAGATTCACTTTTGATATTTAATATGTATAATGATGGTTGATTGTGTGATTGTTGCATTTTACATTTAACCAAATCATTTCACCAATTTCATCATTATGGTTTCAGTTATGATTAAAGAACCAAGAACAAGGTGAAAAAAGCAAAAAGCAAGAAATGGAAATGAGAAATAGAAAAAAAATGATGAAAATTCTGGTTCAATCCACAAGCGTTGTCAATGAAAAAGTCATCAATAGTCGACCCAATTTGAAGTCATCTTGTCACCCTTTTGGCTTGAATTCAATTTTGTTAAAATCATTGATTAACCATCATAATAAGTCTTCGTAATAAGTAGTCTTGTAAGTTGGATCACATTGTATGTTGACTAATTGTTGCCTTCAATTGTGACTCGCGCTTTTAACTGTTAATCCATAATCAGCATTCCATTTTCGTTTAAATACAATATTCTCTCTTAATTTAATCAATAGTTAATATATTAATTGTCTTGCAGAGTTTCAATGTTTCACTTTAAAATGGGTTTAATCTTCAGAGCAAATTCCGCTTCGCTGTTTACGCTGATATCGACGAATCTTTCGATCCCATTCCTCTGACCATTCAACAACTAACGACTGTCTATCAGCAATTAATCCTCGAGGTTCAGCTTCTCGCTCTTCAATTCCTGTAAACAATTAGAATAAAAAATAACACCAGAAATTAATAAACACTCGGAGTTACCAAAAACAAAGGCATTGACTTAAAATGAAGGCATTTAGGTTAAATCTGGTTGTGATGACCTTTAATTGGACTAACCCAATTTGACAATATTGACACAATGTTTTAATAATGATTATTGAATGGTAATTTATTTGATTTTTAATGCTTCTTTCACTATCAATAATCACGATCAGTAATAAAATGTAAATAGCAAAATGGTGAAGTAAAGTTTGTCTGTTGAAATTGGATTCACAGTTTTCTGATTTTTGCCTGTAACACATTCAAATTGTGATGCAGTCAATCAAATGGTTTCTGATCTACATTTTGCCTGTTTAATCAACCTTAAATCTAATTTACACTTTGAATTACCATTAATCACATGTTCAAACAAAAATGACACCTTTTAAGTCTAACAATGAGATCACCAATAATCATTATAATGTGTGCAAAGGCATTGCTGGTGATGAATACAGAAGAGCAGGAAAAACATGAAAATGACTCAAATTGACTGATTATTCAACTGAATGATTGGTAAAAATATTGTAACTGCCATTGCCATTTCAATAATCAAATAACCTCTAACATGTTAATCTTAATCAAATCCGAGGAAAAGACGAGGAAAAAAGAAAAGCAAAATCAAGATTTTAATTTGTCTCACCAAATGAATAACATTTATTGCAGCAAAAGCAAAATCATAATCAATTTAACATGTTTGTGTCATAATTTGATAAAAATTAACATTGAGCATCTGAACTTCATCAACATCCTAAACTAATTACCAAAGGCTAAATCTAATAAAGTCTAATCAATAGACAGAAACCAATCTAATCACTTTTAAGCACAATTCAATACTCACATTGATTCACAAAAAAAGCTGGAGACTCAAGTTGAAATCAAATGATCATTTGAAATGTCAACAGTTAGACACAATTAGCAATGCTAATGTTCATTTTAATTGTTATTCAGATGAAATGTTTATTAGAACCTAATCAATTCAAATTTATTGGAATTGGTTGAAATTTTCAGTGAATGTTCAAGTCTAAAAAGGCTTTTGGGTGAAAATGCAAGTGATTCAACAGTTAATGTCTTTAACTAAAAGTTTGTTTAAATGTTAACCAACTAATCATTTCAGTGAAAATCCATGTTCTCATTGCTGTTGTTTTCAAGTTTGAATTGATTTCAATAAATTTGAATAACAAATTCGAGAAAAAATTAGATTGACTCGAATATCGATTCTATGGATTGCTCATATCCTCAACACAAAACAAGTCGATAAACTGATTTAGAGACTTTTTGCATCGATTTATGTTCGAATCATTTTTTAATTTTTTGAAAAAATCTTAGCTTTTCTTATAAAGAATCTTAGAGTTCAACTGAAAATTTCGAGTTTGGCTGAGCATTTGAAAATTGCTATTTTAAATGTTCCTCAAGATCAATCAGCAAATCCTTAATGAAAAAAATCACAAGTCTAGTTTTTAGTCTTTGGTCAATAATTTCCAACTGATCCTTGTATGTTCCAACACTGAGCAAAGCTTGAAGACTCATGAATCAGTTGCCCATTGAAGGTTATTCATTTAAACATACAACAAGTCATGATCAAGATTATGATTGGGACAAGAAATAAAAATAAATTAACCAATCCAATGAAAAAGCTTGTTGACATTATTTGACAACCATGTAAACAGTTGCACTTTCACCATCACCATCATCACAATCATCATAATCATCATTTTGCTTCAATAACCATTCAGGCAAACTCTTTTTTTCACCATTCACAACCAACTCTTCATCACTCCTCATCCTCCATCTCACTTCCTCCACTTTTTCAATACAAAACCCAACAACCAAAGACAGACAAAAAAAAGTAATATCATTTTTTACTTCCACTCGGCTTGAGCTAATCAAAGAAGGCAAAATATCATTTAATGTATTATCAGCAACAGAAAACATTTAAACTATCATAATAATCATCGATTAATAACCTTTAATGTCATCAAGCAAGTCGACAAAAAATGACAAATCAAAGGTAAAAAGGAGCGAGGGAAAAAAAAGGTAATTCAAAGGTTAAAAAAGGGTAAACTAATGATGTTGATTTTGCCTTTGATTATTCAATAAACAAGTTTTTTTGGGAAATGAAATGCAAACAAAACTTACCAATAATGATGTAGTTTTCCTTGATCTTGATCTTGGGACATTTACAGGCAAGATCAGCCAAAGGAACCCAAAGCGATTCCGAACCTCGTCTTAACTTTGTCACTGTGTGCTTATAAATCTCGATTATTTGTATTGTAAATCGAATCCAGTCTCCAATAGTTTCCCTGGAGACGACATTAGCTTCAATTGCTATTCCATGTGAAGGGAAGAGGGAAAAAAGCAGATAAAATGAGTTCTTTGCTTATTTTACTTATTTATTTTACTTCGTTTTTTTTCTTCGTGTTTTGTTTTGTCACATTTTGAACAAGATAAAGTTTCATCTTCTGTTTACCATTGAATTATCTTCCTCAGACTCATCTTCATCTTTTGCCACTTATTTTGCTACCTTGTTCATCTTTAGCTTAGAGCATATTATTCAATGTCATTGTTTATCGAGAAACATCATTCACAGTTTAATGTGTATAGTTTGTTGAAACTTTTATCTTCACCCTGAGAATGATAAAAGGTGAAAGAATGATGAAAATGGACTGAGATTGCCAATGATTTGTCTTCATTGAGGACAACATATTTTGTCTCATCAGTTTGTTTGCTGTTAACAACAACAAAAGAAGGCAACACACAAAATTGTAAAAGTTGAACATTAAAGGTAGACAAAGATGATGTTAATGATGGGGATGAGGAGGAGGAGAAGAAAATATTGAGGCAAGAAAAAAAACCATTGGCATGATGATGATAGGAAGTGATGATGAGGGAAAGAAAAAGAAGGAAAAGAAGCAAAATAAAATCAGGTTTTACGGCGATGATAATGATGATAATGACGATGAAGATAAGAAGGATGAGTAAGAAAGAGCAACAATGTAATGTTTGGAAATGATGAAAAGAAATACTGAGAATAAGGAAAAGTGAAAGGATAAACCTGAAACTGAGTTGTTCGAGTTTACCATAAAAGTTTATCAATTGATATAAAAAATCAGAATCTCGTTTTTGTCATTTTCTTGAGACTGAATTTTCTCAGCAATTGTTATAAATTGCAATAAAAAACTCAAAATTAAATCTAATTTTGTTTAAATAGAATCGAAAATCTTAGTCAAATTTCAATCGATAGATGAAACCAGAATTTCAAGAAACCTTTCATTTTAGGCCAATGCTTGTCGTAAATTGACTCAAAGGTGCTTTAATTGACATCTTAAGTTGAATTGTTATTTGAATTTGAAACTGAAACAATGGAAGCATTTGAGCCAACATTGAAAGTGAGCAACGCCAATCAACTCGATTCCCAAGCTTCCATTTGAATTTAAATTGGTTAAATATTAACTTTGATTGCATTAGTTTTGTTTTACCAAACTTGCAGGTATCAATTGATTAATCAATGAATTAATCAAAGTATCAACAGAGTTTCAACCCATTGCTAACCAAATTCATTTCCAATGAAACTCTGCTAATGGTGAAGTAGGAAAGAAAAAGGTTAACAGGAAATTTACAACTGGGAATGGAAATGGAAATGTTGAAGGAAATCAGGTTTTACTTACTGATAATATGAAATCATGAAAAGGTGTAATTATTAAAGGCCCAAAAAACTGTCATTAAGTTGATCGTAATTTGCTCTTTAACCAGATCTAACTTAATATTAAACTAATGATTTTGCCACCTCTTAAATGATAATAACATCAATTAACTTTCCAATCTCATCTCTTGAAAAATAATGTCAATCCAATGTTATTCAATGTAAATTGTCACCATTGCTATTAAATATGTTAACTAATCATTTGCATAAAAAACGCTTTTCTCAATTACCATAAGTAAATATAAAAGGCAAATGGTTTTCAATTTAGAAACAAAATAATTAAAGAATGTAAATTAGAGTTAATCAATCGAAATGGATCTCAATCAATTAACTCGAACCTTGAGATTAAGTTTCAATTGAAGCTCAAATTGACTCAATTATCTGAATCATTAAGGTTGCCTTAAAAATTCAAGCTATGGAACTGAGTAGGATGAGGCTGAAGGAGTTGAAGATGAGCTGTTCATTGAGTTTCATGAAGAGCAATAAATGGTGATAAAATGATTCCCATCGAGATAATGTTGAAATGATTACAATAAATCAAGTGACAAGTTTATATTTTCAATGGTTAAACAAGGTTAATGGGAAACAAGATTAGTTACAATCAAACAAACACCAAACAGCATTCAGCATTCAATCGCAAACTAATTGCTACCTTATTTATCATTATTAATTCATTGCAAGGTGTTATCGTCTTCCCTGAACAGGTTTAAGGTAAACTTTGTTATCATTACCATTTAACACTTGCCACATGAAATCAGATGGAAAACATTTATCTTGATAAACTTAATGTTGAAAATCTCAAGTGAAGAACACTTTTTGTCCGGTTTTCTCTCTTATTATCTCTCCATTTTCATCTGATTAAACATTTCACACTAGTTAACCTTAACTACAATCAAGTCATTTTGCCTGACATTTGCTCAAAAAGTGTGATCGTTAAAAGAGGAAAAATTAATGATAATTTTAATGATTTTAAACGTTACTCAAACACTTTGCATATTGAACAAGAAAAGGCAAAAAATTGCTATTTTACAATGTAAATTATTATGGTGAGTTTGTTGACAGGATTATTGTTGGTATTACACTTTAAACTATCAAAACCACTAAACTTTTTATGTGTCAGGCTTTGCTGGGAGTGAAAAATATGATAATATCATCAAAATATGAAACCATTTTAAAGGGAAAAGAATCAATAAAAAAAGAGAAAAAATATTCAAAAAATTTAAATATTTAGTCATGTTAACAGAAACATCAGTCTAGACTTGTACTCTCGACCATTATTGAGTTATGCAAAAATTGCATTTCTCGAATCACAATCTCATGTTCAACATTCAGGACTAAATTTGGTTCTGAAAAAATATTTAATTTAAACTAACAATAAACAGGAATAAAAGTCAATCTCACAGAATCACAAAAGCAAAGTTTGTTCAGATTATCAAACTCAAACTTGATCTACCATTGAATTGGGAAGAGAAGAAGTTTAAGCTTAAAAAATTGAATTTCGGTTTATCTTTTATAGTAAACAGAAAAGTAACTGAAAAATTCAAAGCAATATTAAAACAAAGATATTGAAAAACGAATAAAAGATTTAAGCTGAAAACGAATGTAAATTGAAATTGAAGGAAATTCGAGTCTCAAAATTACTGAGTATTGATATGACGAACCTCACTGATCGGTTTCCAAAAGTCTTGCTTTTTCAATCGAAGTTGATTCTTTTCCGATTCTATCTACTTTGCTGTTCATGAATTTATATTCAAACTTGATAGGATTCTAACTGATGACCAACAAAGATTTAAAAAGTGGTTCAAGTTTAATGTTGATCTGAGTCATTTCGAGTTATTTATTGTCATTCAAAATTGATTTGATTTGGAATCTTCGATTGCAATTGCGATAATTTCGGTAGAGTTACTTCGATGCAAGTGTAAATAACATTTTAAACACACATTTCAGAGAGTTGAACTGAGTAAACTTGAATCATAGAGTTGAGCTATTATTGTGAAACCTGATGCAATCAGTACTGATTTAAACTGTGATACCTTCAACATTGGCCAACAGTTGATGTTAACAAAACTAGTTTTTGCTGAAAAGTTTCACTCAGTAAAATGAAATTATCGCAATGTAACCGTTTTTTCATTTGCACAATTGTTCTTTCATGATAATCTTTCTTCAATTTACTTTTTTTATCATGTAATCTGTTACTCTTTTGGTTAAATTTTCAAATGTTTCATCAGATAAAAGCGCCTTTTTTTAGGCAAAACACAGTTGAATGTAAATGGATAAATGAAGCAAAAATTGGCAGGTGAGAAATGATGAGATTCAATCTCATTTCCATTGAGAATTTCAAATCTCGCCGGGATTTTTTCGCTTCTCTAGATAAACAAAAAGGTTCACCAAGTTTGCCATCATGAATTACAATCAAGCAAGCACAAGTTAATGGTTTTAATATCTTTCATTCACAGTGACTAAATTTTCCATATTAACCAAAAGAAGAAGCAGAAAAAAATCTGTCCATTATTGAACTTGTTACTCTTTCATATTTACATGGTAATTTGGCCAAAATGGAAGAGAGAAAAAACGAAAGAAAAGAAGAAGAAAGTTGTTTGTTTTCCTGATTCTGTTCCTTATTCCTATCATCATTTCCATTCCCTGTTTTGCTCTCAAGGAATGTGCTTTTAGGCATATTTGGTTGATGACGGTGTTGCAGTTTAATATCAGTGAAAGCATCTATTGACAATGAAACCCATTTGATAGTTTAGTCCATTAAGAATTGCTGTTTAGGTGAATAAACAGATAAACAAAGGTTGCAAGATTGACATGGAAGATGAAGGCAGAATCAGGGTGAAGTGAAGAAGGATCAGAATGTTGATCAAGATGGAGTATTTGCAATAGTTAAAGAAATTGAAAGAACAAAAAGAATCCAAAATTTTACTCTTTTCCAGAATCGTTTTAATTTAAACTCAAGCTTTTCATCAATTTTTGGGTTTTCAAGAAAAGGGAAAGTTTTTTAGTTCTGTTTCAGTTTTCATTTGTTTTCAACCTTTTAAGTTTTCAGTTCAGTTCTTTGGAGCAATTAGTGTTCAATTGAATTTCAATCAAAAATTGTTTTTTCCCTTTTCTTTCTGATTATCATGATAGGTTAATATTAAAGGTGAAGTGAATAAAATGTTAATTTGCTTCTCCTTCTGTTGGAAATAAAATGAACAAAATGTTGCCTGATGAATGATTATATTATTAAATTCATTTCAACAATTTTTCAGCTTGTGGAAGCATTTTTTCCTCCCTGATATTCAATAATATTAGTTTGCTTTGAGCAACGGTAAAGAGAAACTGTTTACAGTGAAAAAATGTTCCTTTCAATGGAGCAAATTATTTCAACTAAATTAAGTTAACAATTTGGTGAAGATGAAGGGTGAAAACATGATGATAATGATGGAAAGGTGAGGAGGAAAGGAAAGGTAAACATTGGAAAGGCAATTGAAAAGCAAATTTTTCTATCGAAAAATTTGTTCTTCTTTCCATGATAAATAAGTGATATTATTAAGATTGTGATGATAGAATGAGCCTGTTCCCAGATGAAGATGAGATTCTTGAAATTCTTAGAGAATAGAGTTTATCAGTGGAAGAACAAAAAAGGAGGAAATAAACACTCAAATAAACACCTTAATAAACATGATTACGTATGAATAAACTTCTGGAATTATCCAATGGAATTTAGATTTCCATCATTTACAGAATCATTCATGTTAACAAAACTGTCTTTAAAGTAAACCCTTTACACTTACAAATTCATAAACTATTTTTGCAACTTTTACTGGAAACTGCCATTTCCAAAGTTGATATAGAAATGTAAAAATATTGTGACAATCACTCGAAGTAAATTATTATGAACTGTTCAGAATTTTCCCGATTTTCCAATGAACAGGACAAGAAATGAAGATATGATGAAGAATGAGAAAGAATGAAAAAATGCAAGAAAAATGTTGCATATTTCGCATCAAAACTCTCAGAGATCCATTCACTGTTCCAATCATGAAACTGGTGTCGAGTTTTATTTCGCCTTTTTAATGATTAATTGAGATTCTTTCATATTTCAAGTTGACCGTTCATCAGTCGATCTTCGGTTTCTCACATGGTAACAACTTGAATCGATATTACATTAATCTTGAAAATTTCTGGTTCGACTTGAAATAACATCAATCCTTGAGTCATTCCATCTTTACTAATGTTTTTATGCTTTCTGTGTTTCTATTTTATAAGGGATATTATCTTCATTCCTTGCTTTTTCATGTCCAGGATGAACGGATTAACTCTGACCAGTTGTGAGATTTTGAGAAATGAGAAAAGGTAAAACTTACCAAAATCCCTTCTGCAATATTTTCTTAGACTTAACTGGTTAACTTCATCTCGACAGTCATCACAATTATCTGAAGCTAAAGAAAAATGAAAATTAACTTTTGCTCGCTTTAAACCAAAGCAGCAACTTACTCGTTTCTTGTTGTTTGCTGACTTCATATGCCGATGCAACTGGAACCATGTTATTCATTGGGACTCCTGAAAGGGTGTAAACAAAGAGTAAATTCATTATCATCATGAAAAGAGAAAAGAAGAAAAAAAAAGACTGAAAATAATTGAGCAACTGTAACTGAGTAAATGGAAATTGATTTGCAATTGAATTTGTTTCTTTTCCCAATAAAACCAATATTTCCTATTATGTATCATTATTATGCTGTTCAGGCAAGTGAAACACTTTCAGTTGTACATTTGTAAAGGTAACAAATTCATTCAAGTTTACCTCGTCCTTTCATTAAGGCAAATGGAAATGCAAAAAAATTGTTTTTACCCTGAACATGAAAGGATAAATTGAATATCAGTTATCGAAATGCTCCAATCAAATGGATTGAAACGGAATACTTTTCACTTTCATTTTTATACTTGTTGCTTAAATGGGAAACACTTACGAACACACGGAGCCACAGTTGATCGACTTTGTTGGTAACCTTTGGCACATCGATTACAAGTAACACCAGTAACACCATCTTTACATGGACACTGTCCAGTTGTTTGGTTACAGGTTCGCCCTGAAGCACCGACAGGATGACATTCACAAGCTTCATGAGAGGACAAAGCAAATACAAGGAAAAAGGGTTAATCATTATTCATTATTCTTGAATAGGCCGTGATTCATTTCGAAAGGAAATGTTCACCATTTGTTCATTTTCTCGTCTTTTGATTCTCATTAAATCATAGCTTATAACTTATTATGTAATGATGAAAAGATTATCTGACATGATGATTCAGAAAATATGATCATCATTATTGATGAAGGAAAACATGTAACAATGGACAGAAAAAAACAGGGAAAAACGAAGATAAATCGAGTATGTAACTGACAATAAAAAAAACACGAAAAAAACATTGCAAAATTTATGCATCATTCGATCAGTTCATTTTTCATGATAAACGATATTTTTTATCATCTTTGCTGAAAGCTTAAAAATTTCCTACAAAAATGAGAAAAAGTAAAACTCGAAATTTCATTTTCTCAAATTCAAGATGCTCCTCATTTATCAAATTATTGAGCAAATATGAAACTTTAAATTTCAAGTTCAACTTCAAGAATCACGAAATTTGAAATTCATGAAAACCTTAACTTCAGGTGAAAAAATTCAGAGCCAAATGAACTTCAAATCGAAATCGTACAAATTAATGTCAAAAAAGACTCATCGACTTTTCTCTCAAAAAGTTTTTCTCAAGAAAATTTTCTCAAACAATTGAGTTACTTACGTTTACAAGCCTTTCGATGAGTGATTGGTTTGGTTGAATCACGATAATAGCCTTCCCGACAATAGTGGCAGTGACGACCTGCCGTGTTGTGTCGACACTTGAGGCAAACTCCACCCGACTTGCGACCCGACAATTTGTACAATTCCATATTGAAACGACATCTTCGAGCATGAAGATTACAATTGCAAGCTGAAAGAAAAGAAGAAAAAGTTTCATGAAATAATGATCAATCAAACTGAAAATTTCAAGATGAATAAATTGTAATAACATTATCACTTTGCCAACCATGAAAAAAGGCTTTTAATAACATCAAGTAATAAAATCCCATTAAATTGTGCAAGTAATGCAATTAATAAACATGATTTTGCTCAACATTTTATAAACATTATCATCCATCCATTAATCAAGTGAACACAAAATCAACTTACAAAGCATTTTGCTCTAAGAAATGTAATCTTGAAAAGGCAAAGTCGAACCTTAAAGATGCCTTCGAAAAAAAAGTAAAGCACCAAAAATATGCATAAAAATGTATAATTAATAAATTTTCAGGCAGCAAAAAGGAAATTTCAAAGGAAATTCGAGTAAAGGGAAAAATTCTGAAAAAAAGAGTCTCGAGAGATATTTTAATACAACCTTTTCTGCTTCTTTTCACTTAACCATTTAATCATAATCATGGAGTGAAAATTGAACATCAACAATGGCAATTGATAGAAGAGTAAAAGATACTTTCAATTTGATTAGAACATTAATTTTACTCAAACATTTCGAGTGTGAAAAATGTAGCAAAAAATTGAAAGCGAAAAGTAAATTTTGAAAAAGGTAAAACTCGAGTTTCAACAATCATTTATCACAATATTTAATCATTGGGAGTGTAAACTCCATGTTTACAGAAATGTCGAGTAAAGACGAAAAGTGAGAAAATGTTTTTTTTCAAATATTGAGCAAAAAACGAGTTAATTATTTCATCAAAAATGAGCCAAAATTTGAGGCAAAAAAACAAGTTGATAATGAATGTGAATCACGCAACAAGCTAAATAAACCTGTCAATTGATGAAGTTGTCAGAAAAGTGATCTTTTGTTGAACCTTTTGTCATTATTAATGCTCAATATTTATGCTTTCGTGATGAGATATTTTTGTCAAAAATGATGTCAATAAGAGTTTGGTTGAGGTTTGGATTTGGGTTAAACTTTTGGCACAAAACAAAAGATACTAATCAGAGGCATTTGATGGACACGGAAAAAGGCAATTGGCAAGGAATGTTTGATAGCATTCAATCCCATGCATTTGTTTGTTCACTTGAAACTTTAAAGCTCAAATAAAATGTGACTTTTCTGGCATAATCAATAATAAACCAATAATGCCTTTTTTTCTGAGACCAAAAAAAACGGTCCAAAGTAAAAGATATAACAAAGTTAGAGTGAAAATAAAAGTGAAAATAAGTTTCTTGTTAAGGTTGAATCAATTTATTATAACAAACTGTCAGAAGAGTGAAAAAAGATGATGATGATGAAGACGGAAAAGATGATGAAAATAGTAAAACCTGAAATGATTTTTTTCCTTTTTTCCATCTTCGCCAAAGTAACCTCTGTTTCAATGGTAAAAGTATTGAATTAAATGTAGTTTTTTGGTCAAACTTGAAAGGATAAAAAAGGCTTAAAATGGACAATAATGTTTACTCAATCAAATTGTATTGAGTTTAAAAGTTCATTGTTGAGCGATCAATTAATGAAATTCATCGATTTCAAGTTTCGGTCTATTTTTTCGATTTTCATGTTTTCATGTTTTCAAAAGAAAAATTTCAAATTGAAATGAGCAGAAATTAAAAGAAACTAAAATGAAAGATCGATACAATTTAGTGTTTCTAATCATTGTCATAATTGTTGGAAGTCTGAATATGATTTAGTAATGAATTTTCATGGAAATGATTCTATTTTTTAGAAATTTTCTTGAAATTTTAATCACTTTTATTGAGAGTTTGCTTTCACTTTCGTTTTGATGAATTGATGAAAACTTGTAAACCGGATGAAATGTTAATTTTTAATCTGATTTATCGGGTTTGATTAGTGAAAATAGTTTGATTTTCAAGTCGTTTCATTGATTCATGTTTTATGTTTTTTCAATATAAAGCTTTGAGTTTAATGTGGGTGGAAGATGAAGAGGAAGAGATTAATTTGAATTGGTGTTGATGATGATGAAGAGGATGGGGATGAAGATGATAGAGGCTTAAGTCCCTGACAGGTCAAATTTTCTTTTCTCAAAAAACACAACTTGTTCTAATGGAGGCGAATCTGTGCTTTACTATTATTATACAGTTTGGAACCTTAAATCACAATGTTGAGCACAAATTTGGGGGTCAATTTGGCATGTTATTAAAAAGCCAGGATAAGTTGGTCATCCATCAAACTGGAAAGCAACCTTATATTTACTCTAATATTTGCGAAGGCGATTTTTTCAGCTTTTTTTGTTTTATTTTATTTGTCCGTTTTCTTCCTCTTTTATTTGCCAGCTTTTACCAACGGCTAAAGGCAAACATGTTGACCTTAAATGATATTGATATTGGCTCATTGGTCAGTTCATTGGACGCTTCATTTCTATTATTAATGAATCATTTGAAACGAGATTCCTTTATTTGCATTTCACATTCATTTTCGGTAAACTAAATGACAAATTTTTCTCTTCTTTTCACCTTAAATTGCAGATATTTGGTCAATTTTAATGTTGTCTTATAATAGCATTTAAACGCACCTTTTCTTTAATTACTAAACTTGATTAATCTCTGATTACATTTGCTCTTCTCAAATTAATTTCACCTCTCAAGGTATTACATTGATTATCATGAATTTGGTGTATTTTTTACTCAAATCGTGCAATTATAATCATTAAGAATGATAAATAGTCAACACTAATTTCCTATCGCAATTCAACTAGAAACTCAAATATCAATAATGTTTAACCAACTTTTCAATTTGATACCTTCAAGGCAATTTAATTTCACGGTATTTCCATTGACAATGAACCTAACGGAGGAAATTTTCAAGTTCAAGATTATGTTTTTTGCTTAATATGGAAACATAAATATAGAAATTACAAACAGTTAATAAACAATTAACTGGCCTCAAAATTGACCAATTATCATATGAAATAAACACTTATTTTGATATGAAAAAATGGTTGTTTTAACAACAATTATCCGATTCTCATGGTTATAAGGTTGTTGTAAAGGATCCAAACCCAACTGTTATTAATATTTTTTAAGTAGTCTAATCTCATGTAGGAGTGATGATAATACATAAAATATGATAAAACAAATAAAACATTTTTCCATTTTTCCATGCATTATTGTACAATGGAATTAGCTTTTTGAGTTAAAGTTCAAGAATCATGGTTACTATTGTTATCAGCCTTGGTGTTACTGGTGAGATTATAGAGGTTGGATTGAAGGTAAATTTAGTTACCAAAAACCTGAGAGTTTTGTAAAAGATGAAAATTAGTAATTAATCATGTTGATGTTAGACTCAGAAAGTTAATTAATAAGGAAAGATGAGGTTGACTTTCCTTTACTTGATGAAAACCACAAATTTATAAATGCTGCTCCAATCCATGGGTTAATCTAATTAAGCTGTTATATTGGTTAACTTATTGTTCAACTTTACCATTGATTGTAATTGAATTTTGGTTCTAATCTTCAAATAGTTATCAAATGGAATCACTTTGGGTACCAATAAAGTTCACTTGAGATATTTGATATTGTTAGCTAATTGGTGAACCAATTCATGTGTGTGAACCGTTGAATAATTAATGAATTAAAGTTGGCTTGTGTAAAGATTAACTTGATAATGGTAACCGGACAATTAGACATTTGATGGGCCATTTCGATAAAAGAGGACAAATTTCTTTCAATAGTTAAATTTGGCTAGTCAAATGAGATCTATTCACTCATGGTCAGTGAACCATCCAAATTCAAATGGTTTCCATCAATTTGTAAATATTGTCCAATGAATTTTGACCCTTTTTTGGTCCAGTCAGTCGTTCACAATCAAGTTAAATCTATTTAACCTGAGCACTCTCGAACCGTTAAGAAGATAAGTATCACTAGACTTTAAAAGGAGACGGCGGTCTTGAAGTTGGAAAAAAGTAGTGAAGCAACGATGCAAGGAATAGGTTTGACCACCTTGGAAGAGGTCCAAAGCTTTATCTCAAAGTTTTGACAGATTACCAAAGGTGAAGTTAAATGGGTGCCAGAGGCTTGTTGAGAAACCTATGAAGCTTCCCACTGATCAAATCAACACGTAACTTGTAATTGTGAATTGTTAACAAATAACTGAGACAGGCGAGATTCTCCATTTTTCCTTGCTTTTAACCTTCCATTAACCTGATTTACCTTCAACTGCATATCAAAACTGGTCATCTTTTTATCTGTAACTTTCAACTTAGTCCCTGTTATTCATCATTTGATGATGATGAAAACTACCATGATGAGTTATGGTGATAATAAACAAAATAACGATTTTGAACGGCTGCTAAGTTGATAACAAGAAGTGGACACTCTTGTCCTTAGATTTATAACAATTATCGATTATTGGCATCTTTGCTTGATTGCTTGAAAATTACCATTAAAAAGATAACTGTAACCGGTAACTAACTAAACGTCTGAACCAAAAATGATTAGCTTTTACTTGAGATTTTGAAAAATTTTCTCCATTTTATTTTTCTTCCTTACTTTCCTCTTGGGCATATCGATTTCATCAGGTGCAGCCATTAAATTGTGATGATTATGGAAACGGATGATGATGGTGATGAAGATAAAGGTTAAATATTAATAGTAACAACAACCAGTTGAAACTGTCAACACAATTTAATGTGTCATCTCGAGACAATTATTAAATCAAACAGCCATGGGGATGAGCCATATTAACGACGCAATTCAATATTGAAAGATTAAAGCCAAAGGTGAACAGTAACACATCAACCCTGCATAGACACAATTAATAAACACTAACTTTGATCGTAAATCACTGAATAATACTTTAGACAGAATCAACAGAAATTTGAAATTGATAATAAATAGTAATTAAACAAAAATACAATTGAAGAAGACAATTCAAATTGCATAATTTAACAGACGTTAACAATTTCCCACCAAAAGTAGATCATGTGATAAGGGAAAGGAGCAAAGTGTAACCTTGCGGTTTGAATAAATTTACAAGGCGCGAGGTTCAATTGTCATGGATAATCAAAGGAAATTAAAATAATGTTAAATAATCAAACAATTGGATTTAGAAATTGCAAGAAATTTAAAAATAAATAAAGCAAATTTGGTATAAAAACCTCTTGGATGAACAGAAAAAAATAAGTTACAAAAGATTACTTTTCAAATCTGAAATTGAGCTTTTACGCTATTTAACTGTTCAGCCAGTCTTAATCATCGTCTCACATTTCATTTATTCAAATCGTTTCAGATAACAAAGGCGATCAAATTTCATTCTCAATTGAATAAGAAGCTATAATGATTATTTAATGGTCACAATTTGTTGATTAAAACGCAATTGATTGAAATCAAGACATTTGAGATGAAAGACACCAACAAGACAGGAACAAAAAGCAACTAATCTGAAATTATGTTTCCACAACAATAACAACGAATCGCTTTCCAATCAAAATTCCGATTCATCAACAATAATTAACAAAATGGTTAAAAGAAACAATTAGCTAAAAATAAATTAAAATTACAAACAAAACTAAATGAAAACAAAAACCGAAAAAACGGAAAGCTTGAAAACCACAAAAAATGCGATTCATTGCCTTCTTGACAATCAATTAGCTGAAAACTTGGAAATGATTGAAATTGAATATTGCCATAAGTTGATCAACCCTGACATTGAATTGAAGAATGAAATCAATTATTTTCTTACATTGGAAACTGATTAAAATCTATTAATAGCAACAATTTGATTTGCCAAATGAGTTGAGTTTTTGTTTCCCATCTTTTCAGTTTCATGAGTTATCAACGAGTTTATGAGAAGCAAAAAAAGGTTACCGACACTTTTTTTCTTGTTGATCATGAAGAGGTGTAAACTAAAGTTGTCAATCAAATTATGATTGATTAAGTGCCAATTAGAGGAAATTGTTAATCAGGATTGTTAATCTCATTGAGTGTAAAATGTTCATGTTTTTCATCTTTTCTCAATTCACTCATTCACTCTATTCAACCCAATCATGTAAAGCTTAACACCAAACTAATCAAGTAACGACTAATTATTCAAATCAGTAATCGGGCTCAGAGAATCTCCTTAAAAGGTAACAATCCAATGAGAGATTTAACCATTAATCCAAGTTAATCCAGAAAAGATTAACAGAGTTGATTGAATTGTTGATTAAGATTCGCCTAAATTGAATAATAAAACAGTCATCTTGAATGGACAATGGAAACACCAGAAAAGCTCGACAAGTATTTTTGTGTCTTTAACCTGAAATCATTAAGCCTGCTGATAAATGACTGTAATAAATGACTTGAGGCTAAGTCTGACTTTTTGAAAAAGTGTTTTTACCTTTTCTGTTGAAAAATATCTTAACATTGTAACCAAATTGAATATCTCATATCGATGATAAGCATTTGAAAATTGAGAGAAAAATCGAAGGAAAAAAGTGTGAAATTGATCAGAAATCGCAAGTTGATCAGACTTGTAAATATTTGCTGTTAGATTGATTGAACATTGGAGACTCACAACCTCAGGTTAAGGTAAAAGGTTTGTTTTTGTTTGAAACTTTTGTAGATTCATTGGTTTCTCAAGATTTCTGTTTTTACTCTTAATGGTTAACTGTTGCAATTGTTTGCATTACTGTTTATAAAAGGTCAGTTGAAAGTGATGAATAGAGGTGAAAAGAGGAAACTGATGTAGAGAGAGAGAGAGAAACAACGGTCAAAAATGAGTTACAACTGGCCAATGGTTGGATAAAATTTGAAGGTAAAGAGGGAAGTTTCAAGAGGATGATAATGTTGATGAAACGGTGATGATGAATAAAAAAGGTGCAAAAAACTGTTGTAAAGGGAAATCCTTGAAGCACGAATTGAAAGGTAAATAGTTGAACTTACGTTTACATTCATGAGCATCTTGGGCTGTGGCTCGAGCCCAGGGAACATCAAAATGAAATGGTTTGCATTTCTCACAATCACGTCCTGCTGTGTTGTGTTTACAATCACAGGTAAGTTGACCTTCTCGGTTGGTGACGCACCTAAGTTGGGTCAAGAGAGGAACAGAAGAAGAAGAAAAAGGTTAACACAAAAAAACCAATAAACAATCACCAATCAAAAGTGGACATTGACCATTATTTGGTTCAACCTTTTTTCGACCGAAAAATAATATTTCTCCAATCTCTCTTCTCTTCATTACCAGAGTGAATAGAGTAAAATTAATTTTTGCCCCTTTCACTAGTTCCACTTTATTGTCCATTTTCAATGGTCAGTCTTTTAATCCATAACATGCTGTGAAATTGCGCCTCAACTGGCTCCAAGATTGACACACTTGAACACTTGCATTGCTGCTAATTTATTGCGCCTTCAAAATGGGAAAACAATTGCAACAATAATTTAACAAATTGTCAATCAATCCAAACTTTTTGATGATTTATTTAATATTAACATTGGAAATGAGCTTTTCTTTGGTCTTGGGTTAACTCGTAAATCATATTGACCTCCTGATAAGCTTTTTAATTTGTTACTTTGTTCGTATTTTTTGCAAGTCGATTGCGCTAATTATCATTTCCATACACAAAGGTAAACAATTTAATAGCTTTTGGCTCTTTCATTATTGATTACTGTTCATTAAGAAAACTTCCCATTCTGTTCAATTTAAATATTGAAAAATAAATATTGACTTTTGTTTCTCCAATTTAACTTTTCTTTTTACGCTTGCAAGCTTTTACCACTCAATGAGTAACTCGACTTTATTAGGTTTAAAGGTAAGCAGTAAGTCATTCTTGAATTTCCTCTTTAATCAACCCTTTCGAGGTTTCATTCAAGATGCATTCGTATCATCATTCATTCATGGACGAAATAAATGCTTTTGCAATGAAATACAGTTACTCAAGTTAAACACTTTTAGAGACTTGACTCTGGAGTCATTAAAACTTCACAAGTTTTAACTTAAATGACCAAAGTTCAAAGTTGAGAGCAAAAACATTTCAAAATTGAATTACTTAAAAGTCTGGTCCACAAAATTTGAATATTTATCATGTCAAGAATCAAAAAAATTTAGTCTAAGTCTTCAATCCATTATTGAGTTTTGAAATTTTTCCTCGAATCACAGGATCGAAACAAAAGTCTGCTCTTCTTGAGTAAAAACATGAGTCAATTGACTTTATCGACTAAATTCAATTTCGTTTCATCTTACATTGGATTGAAAAGTAAAAGTAAAACAAAAGTTGATAAAATTTCGGTCGATCCGATTGCTAAGTTTGGTTTCGTCCTAATAATGTTAGACTACAGATTGACAAAATTGAAAATCGCAATTCAAAGTTTAAGGTTGATCACAGAGTTTTTTTTGCATTCTTATTAATATTGCAAAATTTGTCTTGAATCACATGGAATACAAAGAATTTTGATGAATTTTGACCTGATGAAGCAGGACATTTGATGCAAGTTGAAAGCCAACGTCCCACCTAACTTTGTTTAACAATTAATGAACCCGGAGTAAAGACTCAATCCAGTATCTAAATTATTCAAAGAGCATTTAAAGCGGACATTAATCATTGTTCAACCCAATAATATGGTTGACCATTTGATTGATTGTAGCCAGTTGATTGATAATGGCTTGTTTTGCCAATAAATATTCAACATTCAACCAAACTCATGATAAAAGAGTGCAATGGAATATGAATGAATAATTGACTGGAAAAAGATGATATTGAAACTAATATCATAAAATGATCTCTACTTTTCCAAGTAAACAGTTAATCGAAGAATAGAACATTTTATTGAAAAAAAAAGAAAAAGAAAAGGGGTTTTCCAGAAAAGAGAAGTATTTTTACTCTTTGATAAGTTGAATATGCAAATGGATGGATATGCATTAATAAACGCAAACAAACAAAGGTAAAAGTTTAATGTGATTGAAGTCCTTTTTTCATCTCTTTGCTTGTGTCAAATAGTAATATGAATTACAATTGAAGCTACACTTTTGGCTTTTGTACCAAACACTTTGTATTATTACTGGTTTTGATGAAACTGGCAAACCAATAATATTACAATGACCGAGGGTCAAAGATGAAGAAATGGAGAGAAGGTCAATAGTGAGGAGAAGAATGAAAAAGATTATTTGTTGGACTTCTGTGAAGGTGAAGATGAAGAAGAATATTATTACAATTATTTATTATTATAAATGTTAACACGATTCAGTATCAGTTCTAGTCGATCAATTGAAAAGGCTTATGCTTTTTACCTTTTTCTTATCATCATCTGTGTCTATTTATTTTCATCTTTTCTCTTCTTCTCTTCTCTCTTCATCTAATTTTGCTTCAACGTAAAATGAGACTGATGTTTAACACATCAACGGATAGTTTGAATGAATGATGATGATCAGTTAAACAGTTAAACCTCATCTCATATTTCACCCAACAAAATTGGATTAACCTTCTTCTTCTTCTCAATTGTAAAACAAAAATCTCTGAAGATGAGGTTAAGATGAAGATTGAAGGATAAGAGAATGAGATCATTTTCTCTGTGGAAATCAATTCTGATTATTCTGATTAAGATTTCTGGCCCTTTTCATCTTCTTTCCTTTCTTTTACTAGTTACTTTTACTTCTCAATGACTCATGAAAAGATAGGTTGAAACTGATGATAATGAAGGGTAAAGAGTAAGATGATGAGTAAGATGAAGCACATGAAAAGAGCAGCTTGCTGGTCAACCAAAAGGATAACAACATTACACTCAAGGGACAGGAAAAAACTTCATCTTAACCTTTCTCTGGTCAATCCTGTAACAAAGTAACAATTACCTGAACTGAGATTGACTCGACATGAATGCGAACCACTAAATTGGCGAAAACTTCAAATGATCAAAAGTGAGTCAAGAAATTTTTTTGCCACAAAAAGTGAAATCAAAAACTTCGAAGAAGTCAAAATTTTGATGAACACCGAAATGAGAAAATTACAAAAGTCAAATGTCTTCGATTTTTTCGAAATTCTGAATTTTCGATTTTTCGATTGAACATCATCTTGAAGTTTTGAAACTTTTTCCTCTTCTGTTTCAATTTGTTTCAAATTTCGATTCGATTTTTTCTCTTGTTTTGGAAAATTCAAGGTAAATTTGGAATGGTCAAGATGACCTGAATGAGACTGAGAATAAATAAATCATTGGAAATCTCGGAATTGGGTCAAACCTGAGAAGCGTAATAAATGTTAATAAATGATATTCTGTGTAAATTTGAAACCAACAATGATTAGTAAAGTATCACAGGAAACAAGGTTTTCCAGGTTCATTGGATTATTCATCTCTCATCAATTGAAACATTTCTCATGACTTACGGCTATTAATATGATCAGAATAAACAAGAGTAAAGAGGAACAAAAAAAGGTGAGAAAAGCAGAAAATGTTCATTTTTCTCTTCTTCTTCATCTTCTTTTTTCTCTGAAAAATGTTTTTAATTTTAATAGCCTCAAGGAATGGTCAGTTTTATGCATTGTGTGTGGTCAAATCTTATTAACAATTCACACAAGAAAAGAGGAAAAAATATTAAATTGTTTCATTAAAAGTATCATTTAATGCATTTACTTTTTTTGCTAAACTAAACTTTTTTTTGCAGATTCTCCATTCACTTTTAGGTAAAAAATTCATTCACGCAATTACGTTTAATGCATTATTTTATTATTTATTATACAATTTCTAGTTTCTAAAGGTTTTTACCTGAAATTGCAAACACTTGTTTATTCACTTTTTTGTGTATTCTTTGCAAAACAATAGCTTCTCCTGACAGTTTTCAATGTTGGTAAACAATTTAGCTCTTCAATGATGTATCACATTTAATTCATTCCCTGTGAAATTTTCATGTAATCTGAGAGAAGAAGAAGAAGAAAAAAACTTCAACCTTTAGTCATCATTGACAACTAGATTGAGCTCAATATTGAACCTGTACAATCAACTGTATAAGAAGTGCAAAAAAAGTTTCACATCAATCAATATCAAAGATAAAAGAAAAGAGCATCAAGTTGATACAAAAATGCAAAATACGTGACAATAAGATGGAGTAAGGATGAGGATAAAATGAGATTGAGATGAAGAGGAGAAACATTTAAGATGAATAAGGGTAAAAAGATTTTGTTGTTTTTTCCACTTCGAAGGTTCTTCTGTACAAAGTTTTGGGTCACCATTGAGCTTCCCTTTTCTGACCCAGTCAAGTCTAATCTGTAGCACAAACTGAAACTAATGGTTAGCCAGTCACTTGATGACCTTTCAAATGCCAATGCATTTGATGTAAAAGATGATGAGGATGAAGATGGGATGAGGGAGTTGCTTTACCTTGTGAGGGTGTGGAACCAATTTAGGCAAACATGTTATTATCTGTTTTAAACATGATTTGAAACACAATTAACTGTAACCTTTAACCTTTTTCCTTTACTCTGTGAGCTTTGAGAGAGAGAAGGTAAAAACAAAAAAAAAGTAAAGGTAAAAATGTTTTCTTCTGTTACTTGGTATTTGTAAAGGTAACAAGTAGAAAGTTTTTTTTCTCTTTACTTTGTGTTTCTTGTTATGTTTTGAAAACATTGTTATCATCAAATTAATTACGGAAGAAAAAAGCTACGCAATTATCATGATTATGATTAACATTATTATCTTCATCTTCATCTTGAGCTGGTGACTTTCAAATTTTTAGACAAGTTGAACACAGTAAATACAGGTAAATACGGTTTAGAGGTTTATTTTGTTTTTTTTTCGTGGTTTTTCTCTTCTCTTTTTGTACTTCTCTCCATCAACTTTTATGAGTTGTTTGCACACTTTTTTTCTTCTAGCCAGGCTTATGAATTGTTCATGATGAACAGATTAAGCCATCAAAAAATAGAGTTTCTTTTTTTTCTGGGAAAATAATGTTGCACATGATGACGATAGAGTAACAATGTGAAACAACTTAAATATTGTTGAGATTCACTTGGAGTTGTTCATGTTTACATTGCAATTTCGTATTGCAAGGAAACAGTTGAACTTTTCCAGTTTGGACGCAATTTCAATGATGATCATGGTAAAGTGGATCATGGAAAGGCTTGTATGTGAGGAAAATTTTTGGGGATTTTATCATTAACTCTGTCTTACCTTGATGCATGTCCATTGCATTTGCATCGTCCACCAACTGCAAGGTCAGAGACTGCATAGTAAAAACTGTCTTCCGGCTTGTGAGCCATCAACATGTTGGATAAATCAGTTTCATTTGTAAATGGATCGAAAATGTTCAACAATGGAAACGGTGTTGACCCTTTCACATTGCCATTAGTGTTGACATTGGTGTTTGCATTGTTGCTGTTTTTACTGGGCTCATTGGGAATGGATGGAAGTGACAGTTTATTGTCACTCTCAGTGTCATCCTCGTCATCCTCATCGGTAGAGTCAAAGTTGAGCAAAGGTGAAACAGTGTGTCCATTGACTCGATTAAATATAATCCTTATATCGGTTGCAGTAACCCAATCCTGAAGCACGGGACTGTTGTCAAAATCATAAGCTGAAGGTCGACCCTCTAGGGTTGAGAAGGCTACTCGACCACCCGGTTGAGAGTCAGTCAGTGACTCCAGGCAAAGTGGCTCTTGTTCATTGGCTTTTGTCACCATTGATTTGGCCGCTCTATGGTAGACCTTTTGACAATCCGAGGAATAGTATTGAAAGGGTTGCCAGGTTTCACCGAAATCGGTCGACTTCATGATTACCATTGAATCGGGTTTTTGAGAGCAAAACTGTAAACTAACATAGGTCAACTCGTACTTTTTACCCAAACTCAGGGTTATTGAAATGTTTTCCGTTGGATCGGTAAACGAGTCCGAGATCCAGCAAGTTGTATTGGTTGGATTGTGAAGGTCAGTTAAATATGCCAATGGATGACTTTGATCAGTATTTGAATCACTCAATGCCTAAATTGGTAAATGAATTTATATTGGAATAAATTTTCACCTTTTTTCTTCAGTCTTTTCAAATTGCACAGAAACTTTAACTAAATAAAAATGAATCAATTATTGGAAAAATTACTCACCTTTACTTCTTTACCGAAAGCGGCATTCACAAAGTCGGGTATACATCGAATAGGATGGCCAAGTTCATCGTAGCATGGTTCGGTTATGGCCGAACCAGAAATGTGAAAAAGATGGAAAAGAAAAATTAATCCGATTGATTGTTTGATTGGCTGGCTTTTCATTTTGATGCAAGCAAAAAAGTTGAACTAATCAAGTGAACGCATGAAAACTGATCAATGGTAAGAAAATTGCTCAAGATTGATAAAAAAGAAAGAGTTAGAGAAAGAGAGAAACAATTTAAACGCGAAAACAAACAATGCTTCTGTTGACTGTAACTTGCAATGAGAAGCGTACAATGTTTTATTATCACTTTTCCAACCTCAGAATGGCAGAAAGAAGAAAAAAAGATGCAAAAAAGAGAGAAAAGTAAAGTGAGAATCTCTTATTCGCATGGTTATGGGTGAGTCATACTTTTCTGTTTAGTGTTGCCATCTACTGATTGATAATCGAACAACTTTTTTGATAACTTTTTCTTACGCAGAATAAAGTTGAGGAAATTGCGCATAGCGAACAGTCGACATTTCAATTAGTCGATATAAATAAACAGCAATGGCTTTTGAAACTAAACTTTCAACTCTTCTTTTTAGAAAGTGCTTCGAATCGTGATTCTAGAGTTTTAAGATGGTTCAAAGATCTTTTCATGGGAATATTGTCAATTAGTAATTAGATTAGCAATTGAAAGTCTGGGAAATATTTAAGCGTAGAAGTTTATCGCATTCAAAACTCCATACGAATTCGAATCAAGTTCGCTGTTGGAAAGCTGATATTTTTATTGAATTATTCCCCGCATAAACCTATCAGCTGAGAAAACTTTGATATCAGAATGCGATATTCATAATATGCTAATGATCAATAGTTCTGATGTTGAAGCATTGACTTAGGAATTGAATATAAGCATTTTTAGTAACATTTATTTTCATTATTTCAACGGCATACGTTTGTTACAATTTGATAGCATTTACAACTAAAAATATGAAAGTCAAGTATTTCAGTAAAAAGAGATAAATAACTTCGGTGAACTCGCAATGTCTTTTTAGCAAGGGAAAACAAGGTAATATGTAATTCAAACAAAATTAATTTTAATTTTCAGAACAATCAGATTTTATGAGCAATTAATTCTCTAAAAATCTTTCGAATTAAAGATGAACTAGAAAAAGCATCAAAAACAAATGCTACATTTAAGTATCGCAACCAGATACAAAAAAATGAGTGAAACAAAAGGCTTATCGCAATTAGCACATACAATCGCTTACTTCATTGATGTGTAACCTGTGCGGACATATTTTGGTACAAGCCATTACATCTTTTTTTCTCAGAAACTATATGTTCAATAGACTTGAAATTTTCATGAAAGGATCATAATGGGAATATATCTATTCAAAACAAATTTCAGAAAGATAGCTTGATCAGTTCATTAGATTTTCTCATTAATTGAGTGCGTTCTAAACCGCTCAAATGATTCAATTTTGAAATGGACTTTTCCATGCGTTAGTTTTAAAGTCATTTAATTCTTATTGTGTCCATGAACTTCTTTCTATTTAGACATTTTGTGATTACCTGAGGTCCAACGTATATGCTGGTAATTTTTGGGACTAAAAACACATCACAATCAATTAATACAAGAAAATTAGTCAGGCAACTCTTTGAAAAAATGTTTAAAGCTCAAATTTTGGAAGACTATGAAAAAAGTAGAATGAAGAGTTAATCTTGCCTCTGAGGGTGGATTAAAGAACTCTAACATAAAGTACTGATTCTAAGCTTTTGAATGATGTATAAAATGTATAAAAATTGCTATCGCTTAATTGTGAAATTTAATTTTAACAATTTGTACCAGAATATGTCCGCATAGGTTATATACCGATTGACAAAACCATTTTTCGAACGCTATCTTCATTTGCGAATCGAAAGACATCCAACTCTATTGTTATCCAGCAAGACGAATCAAATGACATAATCATTGAAATCGGTTTGAGTTACTTGAGACTTTTCTTGCAAGTGATAATTCTTTATTATAATTGCTACTATTAAATTGGTTCACAAAAGAAGTTGATAAATTGTTAATTACTTAATCCCTGTCAGAACAGGGAATGAATGCGCAAGATAAAATTGGCCAAAAAACTGTATCCCATTACATCAACTGAAAGATAAAAGTGTTGTAAAGGACAATAGATGGCGACATGAAATTCAGCGCAATTTATCGTTTCATTTTTATGAGTCTAAGCAAACAAATGAGAAAAGTAAACCAACAGATTCAGTTTTCATCTCTGTTCATTCCAAGTTTACTGAATAAATGAAACAAGTGAAGATGATTCAAAGGGACTAAAAATACGCAAAGAGAAAAAAGAAATAACAGAAAGTAAATTTCGCTGAACCAAAATGAGTTGATATTTTTTTTCCCTGTGCAACTCCTAATTTTGCTTTAGTGTGTTTATCTTTACACCAAACATTATTGATATAATTTGCATCTTTAAAAGGATCCAGTCAGTTGATATTAAAATTGGTTTTCAAAATGAAACTTTATCCATCTTGCACCCAATATAACTGGAATAACTTATCCACTTAACCTGATTCCCTTCAAGTACCTGATCAATCATCATGATCACCCATTAAACCAACAAGTTGCTACTTCTGTTCAACAGAGAGGTTAATTAGTTTCCATCGGTTGACCAAGGGTCATCATGAATCTCAACAACACGGATATTGAACTGGATCAGCACAATTCCTCATTCCTATCGGATAACTATGACGACTCAGCACTGGGCGAACCCTTTCAAATATTCCTCATCTGTTTGTACAGTGTAACCGCTCTCCTGGCCTTTGCAGGCAACATCACAGCCATTTGGGTTCTCATGGCAGGAAAAAGGTCATCCAAAGAACTTCGAATTTTCCTCGTCAACCTGGCTGCTTCCGATATAACAATGGCTCTATTCTCAATTCCCTTTACATACACTTCTTACATGCTTAATCGTTGGATATTTCATCCATCATTCTGTCCTTTTGTTCAGTTCATGACTCTTTGTTCAGTTATAGTCAGTGTTTACACCTTAACAGCCATAGGAATTGACAGGTGAGTAGAAAAACATGAAAATGATGGAAAAAAGAAAAATCCACAAAATTTATTGATAACCTCACTTGACTCCCTAATCTTGATGATGATTTATTGAATCGATGAAAGGCTGAAACTTGAAAAGGTAAAAGTTGAAAAGTTATTAACAGTTTGTATCAATATCATGCTATTGATTTTCATTTCACGATTACTTGTCAAATGTAAGAAATGATGTAAACTGAAAAGTTCATTTCATTTTCGATCTTTTGTCAATCGAGTTGAAAGCACTGTTAATGAAAAATCATTAAAAGAAGCAACTTTAATCTAAAATCTGGATCCAATTTTTAATGTTGAAACTCAAGTGTCGATTTGATTTCAGGAAAAATTGCCTTTTTTATTGTTTTCACTTGCAACAAAAGCTCAACACAGGAACCATTAAATTTACTCATTATTTTGATCATCAACATTACAATTTCTTTTCTCTTGAGTAAAATTAGTCGAATTTGTTTTTGCACAAAACTTACAAAAGCTTACAGAGTTCATTTCGAATCCAGTTTCATGTTGCAAGTTCAGAGTCAAATACAAAAGTCAAAATTGAAGAGTTGACATTGATTGAAGTGCAGAGCAATAAAACAGTAAATCAACAAGTTTTACAATAAAAAAGTGGCAAAAAGATGCGACAAAATTCAAGGTTTTCAAATGTTGAGTCTGATTGAGTTGAAAAGTTGATTGCAATAGTTGATCAAACATTGTAAATTAGTTGATTAATTGTCGAAGAGAGCAGCAGAGAAAAATCCTTGAAAATTCTTGACAAGTTATTAGCTGTTGATTGAAACGAAAATTTAGTTTTTCTCAACGAAAACAATTTCCATTTTATTGAGCTTCGTTTCTGTCCAAAGCTGAGAAATAATGAATAAAGATTGAAACTTGTTTGGATTGTTGAATAGCAAAAACAAAATCAGACTTTGATCTTGTTTCTGTTCAACATTTACTTTCCAATAGCTTAAGGTTAATCTTGGTTAACCTGCAATTTATTTGTGTTTAGTTTTAGACTCGTTGTTATTGAGTCCAGAAAACTAATGAAATTGTTGAGTTCTGGTAGAATTTAGAGAAAAGAGAAAAGCTCTTAGCATTGCCTTAGAAGATGTGAAAGGAGAAGAAAACAATATTATCATGGGAAGATGTCAAAGAGCAAAAAGGATGATGATATTGACGATTGAACAACGAATCGTGTTAACATTATTTTCAAGTAAATACTTTTGTGAAATTTTGATTGATAAAATAAACCCTTTTCAAAATTAACCACTTTTCAGTGACAAGATAAGATGACGAAGGAAAAGGAAAAGGATGAAGATGGGGATGAAGATGAGCTGGGAGAAGGTCTTCAACATAATTTTATCGCCATTTCCATCTACATTTACTCTTCCCTTCTCTTCGTTTCTCTTTTCATTTTCGACATTTTATCTTCTCTTTTACTCCAACTTTGTCGTTTCTTGTCAAAACTTATTTTTTGTTGAATTTGAAAAGAATAGCTGATGGCTTAAGGGAATCTTCATCTACATCATCTTTGCCTCATCTTTCCTTTCCTCTTTTTTCAACTCTTTTTCGCAACTCAACATGCTCTTAACCCTTTTCGACACAACTTGAGATCTCATCTATTAGCAGCATTAATCTTGACAAACGAAAAAAAAGAATCAAGATTAACTTGAAACTTCATTTGTCTTTTTTCACCATTTTAATCACGAGAGATTCAACTGTTCGCTTTGAAAATGATTGACTTGGAAATTATGATAATTTGAATGGAAAAAAGTTTTTAATTAAAGTTTTCTGTTTCAGTCAAAACGAAATTCAATTTCTATTCAAGTTTCGAGGCTAAAAGTATTATCAATGTCGGAAATGCATGTCGCTTGTGATGGTTTTATTATGGTTAAGCTTTAAGTTTAAGTTTAAGCTCAAGATCTTAACTCACCTTGAAATTCTGGACGAAATGTTAATTATCTTATTCACTGAAGGAATAATTCAATTAGACTAACTAGAACTCATCATTAAGTTTCACGCCTGATAAACAGCTAATGAATTATTTTCTAATCAACCAAGATTTTGTTATAAAGTCACATTTTCACGGAGCTATCGAACTGAAATGTAAAAAACATTAATAAACACTAATCATAACATCAGAGAAAAGTTTTGCTGAAATAAAAATTCTTTAAAATGAATCTCAAATTTGGAAAATTCAAAATCTCTTTCATTTTTCAAGATTCGAAGATTGATCGTTTTCGCATTTAATCAACTAAACGAAAGCCTAACCACATTAAGTTAACACTTGACTAGATGTTCATTTCAAGCTCACAATTTTTTTCATTAAATATTTCATCATGAAAGTTGATTGAATTTCGAAACATGTTGGTTTATTCAGGAAATTGAAATAAACTGAAACTTACAAGTTCTGATCAAGACAAATTCGTATCTTCAGACATTTGATTGAGAAATCGGGAGATTTCGTTTGCTAGACGAATGAGAGTCAAATTTTTCGAAAAAACAGATTATTCCATCGAAGAATCTCATATTTGGGTAATTTTTTCTCATGACTTATCTTGCTCAGTGTCTTGGATGGAACGGTTCAACCTTGAAAGACATTGAATCCAAAGACATATCTTGAACCAAACAATAATAATGAATGAAGTCTTTAATTCCAGTGTTGAGACTAATTGCTTATTTTATACACTCAACTGCTCCTCCAAGCTTCCCCTGTAATCATTCTGCTGCCTTTAGCAAATCAAAAGATAACTAAATAAACCGCTCAACAATATCGCTATTAGTGTATTCAGTTTTTATGCTAAAAATAATTAGATTTATTGCTAAGATTAAGCAACTAGAATAGCGAGTAAAAATTGCTTTGATCAAGTAATGAATGAATTAATCTTGACAAGCAACATTTTTATTTCACTTCATTTTTACTGTCTAGTCTTTCGTGACAATAAAGTAATTGCACACCAAGTTCCCAAAGGAACCGATCATCATAATTGTAGATTATAACATTTATGTTAATGTAAGCTCATTCAATCGATGCAAAATCAAACTTATTCTTGTTTACCTGAAAAAAAGTTGAGCAACAAAAAAGGAAAGAAAGGCTTGAAAAATATCATCAACGTTCAGGTTAAATGTTGAACTTGCATAGTTATTAATAACATTATGATAAAATTGATCGACAAGTGGAAAGCAAACTTTTCATCCCAAAATGTTACAAAGACATGAAATGATGAATCTGTCAGAATCAGAAACATGAGAAAAAACTTTTCTCAGCTTTGCTTTTGCAAGCCTAATACAGTTGGAGAAAGGGTCAAAAACTATGAAAGTAAAAAGAGAAAAAAAACTCGCAATTTGACTCGATAATAACACGCCTTTAATACCTATTGAACCACATGAAAATTTTCATGGTCAATCTTGATTGACAGTTCAACCTTATCATCCATGATCTGACCGAATGAGAGCAAAAAATTGCAGAGAAAATTATAAGTCGACGAAAAGTTTGCTTCGATATTTGAAGATTTTTACGAAAAAAAGAAAATTCCAAAGCTCTCTTCTCTGATACTCTTCCCTGAGCCACCTACACTTATAGACTACTGGCTTTGCTCAACAATTTTATCGTTAGAACGTTTCCTTGCCAACGAAACTCGAAGACTTTTCCTTCATTTTATCCAATTGGTAATAATAGGAAAGAAGGAAAAGCAAAGGAAAAAAGGTTCAAGTTGAACGTTGTCAAAAGACAGTTTGACATTAAAATTAAATTTCAAATTCTGTTCATTTAATCAATGGATAACATGTCATGGATTCAATTTTGATGAATTTTGTTTTCACACAAAATCATGATGAACAGACAAAAAAGAAGAAGAATAAAAGAGAAAAATGTCTCACTCATTGCCATCAGAATTGGCGGAGGAGAAGAAAAGGCAATCAAAATGAATGACAATTGTAATCACTTGAATCTTTGAATCCATTTTAATGACGATCATTTAATTGGATAAATAATCATGGAAATGGTAAAAAAATGTTGATTGAAAACAAAACCGAGTTTTACATTTTCACGCTTCAACCAACAACAATTAGTTGAACAATTAAATTTAATTAGTCGAAATGTTTTGCAGTTTCTCGGCCAAGTATCATTATAAACAATAAAAGGACATTTCATTGAACCATTTGTTTGTAAAAGTAATCACAAAAATTGAAGCATTCAGTTGATGATCGAGTCTGAAAGAGTCATGAAAAGAGCAGACAATCGATATTGAAACGAGATTTACCTTGAATTTACCCTAATGATAGTCATTTGTAGACTGATATTCAAATGTTCAAACAAATTTATCAAAAGTAAAGTTTCATTTCGAAAATGAAAGCTGACAATTTAAATACTTTTACCAATCAATCTAAAGTTTTTCGTCGAACATTTTGTTTCATCAAAATTTCCCTTTTGCACGTCATTGTTGAAAAGTAAATTGTTTTGGCCACTTTCAGACCAATAATCATGATGATAGACTGAATATTGTGTGATGTTCAGTGTTTTCAGGATTAAATTTGTTTTCTTGTTACATCTTTAATCTTTAGTGTTAATGTTGATGGTTAAACTTTTTTCACCCTTAAACTTGTAAAGCCTAAGCATGGTAATAATTCAGTGTTTTGATTAATGATGAATGAGTCTGGATGATTACATTTATATAAGAGTGTAATGAAAATAGAGAATCCAGAAACAGAAAAGTGTTCATCTAAAGAGAAATCATTTAATTCTATTGCTTTTCGCTTTAGCATTTACCTTTGTTCACACTGAATCTTGTTATACAATCAGTAATTGAATGTTTCGAGTTTTGGAAATTTACTTTTAAAACTCGAAATTTTCTTTCATTCCAATTGTCACAGATTGTCTATTTTGTTGTTAACAGTTTGTCTTTTAATTTCCGCAACTGTCTTCAGATCTTCAAGCTTGGAATACAAATGATTGAATAGACGTCAAAGTGGATAGTTTCAAGTCT